TTTCTTATCATTAGTGTCACTTCAACTAAAGCCTCCTAATAACAAAAGTTAATACCGCATCACCTTCACCCTTCGCACACGTGTGAAGGGGCTCCTGTCAAATTGGAGTGTACACAGTGAAGTAACCTGTGCATCTCCGTTTTAGCAAAAAATCGACTTAAATACCAATTTCAGCGCTAGTGACTAAATCGTTCTCATTCATCTAAAGCAATCTATCTAAATAAGTATTTAGTAATAGTTTCATAAACTTTATTGTACATCAATCAGACAAGGGAACTTTAAAATACATGCACTTTTATAACGGTCCAGCATATTTTACACACTTTACAATTAAAAATGTATCCAAATATCATTATTGTCGCTCTCATTCTTGTCTACTTTTAAGTCATATAGTTACTTTAAGCCAAACATTTACTTGAAATATAACAATTAGATGGTGATAGTGGTGGTGATGACGGTGGTGACGATGATGATAGTGGTGATGATGACGATGATGATGGTGGTGGTGATGACGATGATTGTGATGATGATGTGAATGGTAATGATGCTGATGATAATGGTGATCATGATGATGATGTTGATGTTGGTGATGATGATGATATATTAATGTACAACAAAGTTTATATGACATTAACAAAATACTTCTTTAGATTCATTTATTAATTACATATAGATAGATAGATGGTCTTACACGGATGAGAAGGATTTTGATACAAGAAGTTATATTAAAATATTTGTTACATGTTAAATGATGTTCAATGTTCTTTTTTGAACGATAAAATGTGTGTTGTAATAATAATTTCTTATTACTGTGCCGTCTTTCTCATTTATGTTTATGAGAAAATCATTCGTGTTACTGCAATCTCATTCGTGTGACCTAAAATATCGTTTTTTTTTTTTGTTGTATTTGACTTAAGTATTTCTGTGATTTTATAATTATTGACATTGTTTGAACTTATTTGTACTTTTAAGAACTTAAAACCAAAAGAAAAAAGGGTATTAGAAAAAAAACTCAAAAAGTGCCATTAAAATTCGGAAAGTGAAATTCACCCAAATATTGACTCCTGCCGCTTAAAATACTGTTTAGAAAGTCCAAACAAGAGAACTAAGTTATTTAAGAGAACGTGAAAACATAATGTTGTAGAACCACAATGGAAAATATTTAATGAGGATCCCGATAATTAAACGAACACATGGCTCAAAGGACTTATATCCAAGCCAAAACTCTTAATAAAAAATATAAAAAATACCTCAAAGCAAAATGCAATCACATCTCCCAATTAAATAGACAGATATTTCTGGACCTACTTATAGATTCTGACCTGACTTACCTATATTACGCTTCCTTCAAGAACAGTCCCATATCTTTCTACATAAGTTTTGTTTATAGTACCCCTCCCTATCAACATCTTGGTTTTGCGGGAAGGGCACTATGACCTGTACGAGCTCGCACAGGGACCATCTAAGTCAAGTTCTAACCAGTACAAAATCCTAACAGTAACAAGTACAAACGTGCAGATGCGGATCCGCACGTTTGCACGTACTTCACCCGGTTCTCTGTAACGCTAGTAGGTGAGCCGCCCTGGGTGCACATACAGCACCCTCCCTATTTTCCAGATAGGTACCGGAGCTATAGCCACGCTCACTTCCTGTCGCGCTCCGCATGGTTAACATTTGCCACCGCTGAACCGCCGACTCTAAGCCGACTACCAAATCTCCTCATTGGTGGCGGAGCTGTAAGACACGCTCACTCCAGTTTCCAAATTACTACGCGGCCGGAAGGACCAGAAGATGTCTAGCTCATCCTCTACTAGCTCTCTGGACTAGTGCCGGACTGCCACTTGGCATCTCCTTTCATTCCTTCAAGACCAATCAATATCAACCCGTTTATACGTTCCACTGCTGGACACAGGTCCTCTTTCAGGCGAGGGTTTAGGCCATACAGTTCACTTAGCTGGCCGAATGCGAGTTGGGAACTTCACACGTGTTCCGAGATTTGTGAACCTTCTTCAACGTGCAGGTTTCATAACGATGTTTTCCTTCACCGAGAAGCTCATGATAAACTTCAAATTCAATTTCGCACATAAATTCGGAAAAAATCAGAGGTGCGAGTTTGGATTCGAAGCCACGGCCTCTGCTTGATAGGCGGTAGGTCAAACCATTAGGCTACCACGGCTTCGCATCGCCTCATTGCCGGTTTAGTAACGTCATTAAAAGTGCTTCTACAATGGCAGCAAAAATACTGTAATATTAATTATTTCAACATGACGATCTCTTTCCTGTTGCAAATACAAAAATTGCTTTATTTGTCTCACGGCGATACAATCTTACTATTACAAATATGGATCACAAATTACTTCTAATAGCTTATCGCAATCAAAGTTGTCGTACTAACAATTTAGTGAACCAAATACTTACCTTGTCCGAGACAGACAGAACTTGTTTTAATGATTTCGTTACTTAGCAATGGTAAAATTAATACCTATTGCACATACGGTCCCATCAGCGTAATGTAAAGTTTGAGACAAATTTGTTTATTACAACCTTTGTTCATTAAGCGTCTGTCAGTGATTAGTTATAAAATATATTGTACAAATAATCGTTTGAAACATGTTTGAAAGCTTCTTAAAATAATCTATAGTGATCATAAAGTCGCAGTTTAATGTTACTGTAGTCAAATAATAATATCAAAAACGAAAAGCTACTAGGACCTAATAAGGTTATACGCTTTAGTCACAAAGATATATAGGTATATAGATACATCGACGTATGACGATCACTAAATGCAAACTAATAAAATTACTTACACTAGGAATATCTACTTTTAAATATCCTAGAAATGAAACCACAGTATCGTAATAACATTCTTATTTCCAAGGCAACACGGCTTTCCGCCGGTCGGTGGGAAGCAGGCAGGTAAAAATGAAGAGATTGCTTTTATCACTGGCAAATTGGATGCAAAGTCGATTTCCCCGCGGGCCGCGATTCCCTGCAAATTAAGCTCGATGTAGCACGATGTAATACTCTGTTCCCGCGCCCGATGTAAATATTTTTTCATAAATCATTCCCTTTTATGTATTTGGTTGGCTTCGCCGAGGACAAAAAGACGAGCGTTTGCCGAAGCCGTAGTGGGATTTGCGAAAATATTATACGAGGAATAAAGTGATGATGTGATTTTATTGTGTTGTATTCACGGTGTTCTGCTTCATCATAGAAATAAATCTTATAGAAAAGGAAATTATTAATATTCAAAGGATTGTTTAAAAATAATTCGTTGACTTTGCTATATCCTAAACAATACAGAATAGAAATCTGTCCTAATTATTATTTATAACTTTTTTATTAAAAAAAGTCGACCTCAAACCTTTGCTTATCTGTTTTCGCTATGCTTTATTTTTATTGGAATTACATCTATGCGCCAAGTTTTATTGAATTCGGTTAACGGGAAGTACCTAAGGGAATTCATCCCGTAATTTGCTACGCTTAAAGGTGGGATATTTTTTTTCAAATTTGAATAGGACTACTACTGAGGTCCTACCTCCTTTTCAATAACAAAAGAATCATCGAAATCGGATCACAAAATGTCGGAATAATCGCGTAACACACAAAAAAATACATAAAATAAATTGAGGACCTCCTCCTTTTTTAAAGTCAGTTAAAAATAGTTTTAAACAAAATTGCCTTCAAAATTGTAGTCGTGAAATAAATGTATTAATATAATTTAAAAATAAAATAATGGCATGTATTTAAATAATCTTTTTAAATTTGCAAAAGCAGTAGACAAAAATCTAAACGGTAATATTTTTTAATGATTGATCCTCTTTCTCTGAGACACAAAATAAATTAAATCGATCGATATTTTAATCTGTTCTGAGCTATGCAAAAAAATGTTCGATTTGTATAAATTAACTTTGATAGTTTTGTGTTAGGCCTCAAAACTAAGACAAATGAGCATTAAAAACAAAATTTAGATTCTTTTTTAAAACTACGTAAATTTTGATTATATTTGTATACTAATATTATATTAGTATTAAAAGTATTCCTGAAAATTTCCAAAATAGGATAACTTTGTTGTTCATAAGAAAAAAGGACTCAAAATATTTCGAGTTATTGTTACATTTGTATATTGTGTTGATTTGTTCAATTATTTCAATAAACGTAAACTTTTTTAAGTGCACCCAAAGGTTAACAAGAAAAATACGTTCCATAAAAAATGTCGTATTTAGATCGTTTTCTTATAATATCAAGCAACGGTTGCAGTGTCACTCAGATCTTTAAATCGTAAAGATTCAGATCGGATTTTTGCACTGGCGCTGCTGCTGCGCCCGTAACCCTGAGACATAAGTTGAGAAGTCCCATGTGTGTGTAATTTGACTCAGCACCCTTAACCTTCAAAAACAGAACGCACAAATACTCACATTAAGTCCTGCTTGGCGGCAGAAATATGGTAGTACTTCCCTAGACGACTTCTCAGATCTTTCACAGTGAGCTCTACTGTTACTACATCACATAACCACATATATTTTGAATATCTGATATTGGTCGCAATTTGACAGAGGAGCCAATAGTATAAGTTGCACGTGTATAGTACAATATCAAACCCTATTTTGTTTTGAATGATATTAAATTGAATACAATGTATTGCTTACGCACAGGTCAGTGTAAATCCTAGCAACAAGAACATCGCGAAATCCTCTTACCGCTGAAATTAATCAAGGCCCCGCTAGACGCCCACAGTAGCTTATGACAGGGGGGCCGGTAAGTCCTTTACAAAGGCGATACGCGTACGACATTACACGGACACGACACGACTACGAATCGAACGACAGTTATTATACCCAAAATAGAACTAAATTATTTAAAAAGATTACATACTATTTATTTATAATCTAGTTATTTAAAATATCAAATTAGTCATAAATAGTATACATTACACGTAAAAGCAACATTAAAATACCTAAATTTTAATATGTTTAGTAAATAAGAAACAATTACATTTTAGAAATAGTTTATTTCTTAGGTAACAATGGACATTCATAAATAATAATACTCTTATCTTTAGATACCGATAGTAATTTATTGCCTTCTGCATTGAATTGTACTCCCCATACCTGAAATTAAATAAACACATTGTAATCGAAAACTGTAATTATACGAAACACATTAAAAGTTGCAATCTTTTGATTTTGTAGGGCTTTGTTTAAAAGTTGTACAAAAAACAAAAAAATGCGAACATATTTCAGTTAAAAATATAATTTTAAATCATAACAAATTTTTTGTTTCACCTTACACCTTTTAGTCAATTTTGTCTGCTTAAATTGTTTTTTTATCATATATAGTCACGAAGATCGGGAAGAAATTTTGGACAGTTAAAAGTTACCACGTTAACGTTTTAAAAAAGCATTTTTTTACTGGCATGAGTTATAGTTTCCTCATTTCTGAATTATGTATTAATTTTTTCAATTAATTTCATTTCTCCTACTTCTGTTACCCCGTAAAAACGTACCCACGTTACAAGTATTCCCTGCCCTGGGTAGTGGGATGAATTGTGCAACTGTTAAAGGCGACACAAACTCGTATAATAATGAATATTTAGTCGCACTGCGCAGCACTAATCGGCTTTAAGCAGGGAGACTACGATGGATGCGAATCTTTTGTCATTTCATTTACGTTAATAATTTTAATATAATAAAATCCATGAAATTGAAAACAGTGAAAATAAGCGGTTAAAAAGTACTTAATTTCGTTCCGTTGACTTATGATAAAATGTATCATCATTTTCTTATCCCTAGATTTGTCTTAAACCTCAGGATAAAATCTTTTGTTCGTGGACTGTTGATGAGTTTTTGTAATCCCTCCTCAAAACACCGTAACGTTATCTTCAATGTTAGGTGGGTCTTCAAGGGATAATACACATATCGCACATGACGACTAACATAGTATTATCTCAAACATTGTGTTATACTATATTTTATCTCAAAAATTTTACATGTACGTCATTCGTATACGATTTAATTTGAAAGTGACAGGAAAACACTAATTAAATCGAATGTGAAAATAACGCAATTTTTGAGATATAATCTCAGTGCAGAGTACTAAAAAACCGACCTCAAAAGTCATTCATCTCCTAGTTTACCGCCCTTAGAGGTGGAATATTTTCTTCAAATTTAAATGGGACCACTGAGGTAGCCTCTTTTCAAAAAAAAAAGAATCATCAAAATCGGTTCACCGTAGTTATTGGGTTACATACGTACAAAAAAAACAGTCCAATTGAGAACTTCCTCCTTTTTATTAAATCGGTTAAAAATATAACACAGTTGTCATGTGCGTTATGTATATACGAAAAAGTCACGCTTGTTTATAAATGCTATAAATATCAACTACGGACCTGTACTAGCTACGGTCCTGACTTACATTTTAACATTATTTCGTCTTATAAGCTTATCGTTTCTGAGTGCCTACTTTCGATCTGGCATCATCAATATTTTTTACACATGTGAAATGACGTGAGTAGGTTGGTATAGTACAAAAAAACACTACTAAAATAAAACTTAATTCATTTCAACTCACTGTATCGCTATGTTCTTTGAAAGCATGGTGTAATTTCAACCCCACAGCGAGTAAGACATTCACAGAGCCGTCGGCAGCCCCCGTCGCCACGCGCGTCCCGTCGGCCGACACGCATGCCGTTAACGCCCAGCATTTGTGGTCAAATCTGTTTTGTAGGCTTCCGCTTTCACTGATGACAATGAATGATAAGAAAACATCATTGTAACAAAACAAATTAATACCTTTAAAATACAGTAATTACATACCAGCTAGTTAACCGGAGCGACTGCTTCAACGGGAGCTACAAATATTCCATATAACCGCTACGAAAAGGATAGTTGTGATTTGTGATGACATTTTTTAAGAATAGACATTACTGCTCCTTGAGTATCTACATAGTCGCGTCGTCAACTAGCTGCTTTTCGATAATTCACTAAGTGTTCGCAGGTACTACATAATTTAATCAGGCCCACTTGTTTCCTTCGTCTGTCAACTTGAAACTGCAAAAGATTTGGATCCATACCCCGAAAAATTTTTATTCATTCGCATAAAGTGATTAATTTCTTTCTTCTTTGGACTAGGCCAGAGGTCGGCAACCTGCGGTTCGTGAGCTGCATGCGGCTCTTTCGATGTGACGTTGCGGCTCTCTAGTTCCATACGCAAATATTAAATAATTTATTAAGAAAACCTATGAAAATCGTGAAACGGATGTATGAGTGAGTAGGCATTAGTTCTATCTATCAGTCACTTGTACTCGCGTCTCCCGTGTGTAGTTATATTATTTAATTATTATAATTTTTTAGTATCATACTTTCATTTGTTGTGAAAAAAATACTATGTATAAATAAATAGACATTATTTATTATTTTCAAGTTTTTTTTTATTTTAAATCATAATCAAATACCTTCATATAAGCAAGTATTATAATATTGTAAAGAAAAATTTTAGCGACTCTTTAAAAACAGTGAAATTTTGTAAATTTTAATGTTTGGCTCTTCCAACTCAATGCTCCCGATCCTAGACTAGACTAGACGAACAATTTGCCGTATTATTTCTTCCCCAATGATATAACCCGCATATTTTTAAGGTAAGAGAAAATAATCGTTTTCGAAACGAACGGGGTACCATGCCCACATTTTCATTTTCCATCAGATAACCTATCGTAACAAATTCACCTTTCGCCGTTCAGTACAACACATATGGAGCGACAAAAGACAAGTCTCGAGATAGGATGAATAAATGTAGTTCTTTATTGTATTAGATATTCGGCGGCCTCTGGGGTTGAGTGGCTTGCCCACCGGTTTTCATGGTGTCGCCATCTCTGAGGTCCCAGGTTCGATAACCGGCCGGGTCAGAGTAGAAAAGTAACTTTTCTATATTGTCTCGGGTCAGGGTGTTTGTGGTACCGTCGTTGTTTCCGATTTCCTTAACACAAGTTCTTTAGCTACGTACTTTGGGATCAGAGCAACGTATATGTTGTTCCAAAGAGAATTTTTCTTAAAAAATGATAATCAACACGTTATCGTATTGGTCTCAATCCGATTGTAACCAAATATATTTAATACTTTATTTAGGGTGATGGTACAAAATGATCGACATTTTAAGGGAAGTGTGTCTTTAAATTTGAAATAACTACATATATCAATAGTGATTAGTTACTTGATAGATATAATCCTCAAGAAAGATTAAGCTGTAGTACGTTTCATAAAAAAGCTATTATAATTATTACTAAAAAAAATCTAAACTAGAATTTCACTATACCTCTAGTAATGAACACCAAAAATCCACTAATTAACTAATCAGTAATCGACACTCACCAATAATGAACACCCAGGACCTACTTAATTGACTTTACCAAGAAAAAGCGTGTTATTAGGATAAAAAATTTGTCTTAAATCTTATTAAAAATGAATTTAAAAAAAAAGATGTACTATAATGGTTCTTGTTACTGACGCTACCACCTTATTACAATATTATTAACTTCCCAGTTCAGTGGGTCCTAAAACGATTTTATTAGCCTGAAATACATATATCCAAATAAATAAAAGCTAATAAAATAATACTTACACATCATAAACGTTTACATTGCCGTCATTAGAAGCAGTAACAATAAATTTAGAGTTTGGTGTAAAAGTAATTCCTCGGACGGGTTTGGTATGGGCCTCTATGGTATGAAGTAACTTCCCTTGGTGCACGTCGAAGATGCTTACAGCGCCATCTACCGAGCCGCTAGCGATGAAACTATGGTCGGGACTCTAGGAAAAACATATTACATTTTTTCCAGCAGACTATGCTTACTAGATGTCTCCTATTGTTCTAAGGTAAGAACCATAATAAATAAGACATATTTATTATTCTTCTTCGCAATTACATCATATTTGTTACGTTAAAATTATTGTGCTTGGTATCTTTAAGTGTTTAAAATTATTGTTAGTATCGTAATAAATAATTATTTTAATAAAGTAACTTATGATTTCGGTTATTAAAATTTTGATGTTTAGATTTTGATTTAGTTTGTTTTAGATTTGCTTTTAAATAAAACCTCTATATAATTATTTTGCTATATTTGTTTTTATGGAAAGTAATTCCGCACTACTATCTACGTAAACTTTACATTTTTGTGGATTTGTTTGAAAAAGTTCTATTCATTACGATAACTTGAAGATGATTTTTTGTTTAGCTATAACTAGGGTTTGTCATAAATGTCATAACTATTAAGTATTTTTTTCCCTTTTTATTTATTTATTTCATGGCACATGACACATCCATATAATACCCTAAAGAGTAACGTACATACAATATATTATAACAATGTATTTATTTATTTACACGTATGGACTGCGACGTGTGGCGCAACTTCGGTGTCGCAACCGGCCTCGGAAACGTCGATAGACAACACCCATCGGCCAAAACTCTTTCTTCATGAAGGTCGACAGATGTAGAGCTGGTACTCTCACCACAGATGAATTAAAATTCACATTGTGACGGGATTCCAACCGCTCGACCCTCAGGGTAGCATTGGCTTTCACCCGTATATACTACACAATATCCGTACCTAGACTTTGTGGAGTAATGTCGCGACACGTATAACAACGTCGTCAGTACCGCTGGCGGAAATAGATGATTAGGGCCAGTCGGGGCGGTGCCACTAAGATTACGGCTGGTGTACTTCTTTTTCCGTTCCACCTTTTTGAAACCATCCTCGTCGCACTGCAGCTTGATTTTGATCGCCTCTCCCGATCGGAAACTGCCGAGTCGAGGCATAAATATTGCGGATGGGTTACCCGATCGGATCGATTCCGTGTTGAAGTAAAATCAGGGCCCTGGTCAACTCGTTTCGGTGGTACTGACGACGCAGCTACAGAAATGAGTTCTCGTTTCTTTTTCTTCCCTTTGGTTGATTGTGGGTTGTCATTGTGCAGCAATGGGTTGACTCACAGCGGCAACAGCAGCGAATCACGTCACGGGTTCAACGCATTTACGCGTGAGCTCTCCGCCGGAACAGGAAAACGGGGTGTGTGGCGTGGGGAAACGCACGCGATGACAGCGAGTTGGTGACGCATGGGCCGACCCAAAACGGCCGATATATGCCTTTTGCGCCTCGTGACGAGTATTCACGTTGCAGACCTCGGGTGACCTACTTAACGAAGTCGCACTACTCAGTAACACGACTTGGGCACGCAACTCACTGATGGTGATGTCCGAGGCCTCCAATTTATGCTGAATTTCAGCAAGCCTTGCTTTTAGGGACGCGACGTCCTTTAACAGCCTGGTGACAACGACGTGGTCGAACGTGATAGGGAGCAGCTTGTGCAGCTTCTGCGCCACGAGAGTAAGCACGGCGTTTGGGTCAATCTCCTTTAATAGTGTAATTATGACCTGGAGGCACTTCGCTCCTCCATCCCTCAGAGGAGATGGCAACTGCTCAACCTTACCGAGAGTACGGAAACGCAGCCCTTTGCCACTGCAAATCTCTTCGTCCTTAAAGTTTGACTTACAGATCTGCACGATGCTGACCTCGTCGATAGTGTCAATGGCGTGTTGAATGAACGCCATCAGTTGATTAGCTATGAGTTGTTGAGAACAGAGTCGACCGCGAGTCGCGAAATTATTATAATTCCTACTGAGTAGTGTAAGCACGTCCGAGCGCGCACCGCACTACATTCTTATCTCAATAATAAACGCTCTATTCCTTAGTTAACGCGTCGACCGTGTGATCTAAAATTTTTAAAAATTAACGCTAATGTTAGCCGATATATTGAAAATGCTTACATGACCATGCGGCGAACAACCAATGAAAGGAGCCAGTAAATTGTAATATTTTTTTTAAGTAGGATGCACAAAAATTTATATCCCAAATTTTTAGATTTTATTTTTAGAACCCAAATCTGCATTGTCTAAAATTAATAGCAACAATTCTATTTTCGACTAATACAAGAATCATAATATATTCCACTTACCCAAGCAACACTCAGTGCAAACTTGCCCCTGGTATCCAAAACACGATCTGTCGTACCTTTCTCAATACCATATACAATCAACTTCCCAGTATGACTACCTGAGACCACCTGGACACCATCTGGTGAAAATGCCACCTTCCAAACATCTGTAGGGCCTGCTGACACCTCATGAACTTTACGCCCAGATGGTAGGTCCCATATTATGAGAGTACAATCAAGTGATGTACTTGCTAGAGCTGAAATGGTAACAGTAACTTTATTTAACACAAGAATAATTATGTGAAATCTTAACTTAATTTAAAATGTGTTTGTCAACATGAGACGAAAAGACCTAAGAGAAAATAGTCTAAGAAAGCTGGGATATTTAGAAGTAAAAAAATATAATAGATATATTAAATTCAAACAATATACATGCTCATAGAATATCAGAAAACTTTTCAAAGGGCCTTCTTAATATAGCAAACATGGTACAGACAGCAGTTACGTTTTCAGGCTGTAAATTGCCAGTGTGAAAACAATAAACAAATACAATATTTTAAGAATTATTTTAACAAAGATACTTACTATGACCATCAGGGCTAATAGCAACGGAAACAACAGCCATTGTATGCTCTTGTAATGTGTGTACAGATTCCAATTTGCTATTTTCCAGCTTCCATACTTTAATAAGACCATCTAGCCCACCTGTCACTATGTAATCTGTTTTGGATGCTCTGGAGACAAACATATTTTGTTAAATCAACCTGTTATTTTATATCAAACACAGGGATTTCCTGTGATATGAGCACCAGAGTATCAAAACTCTAGGGCTAATGTTTATGCACACTGGGTCAAATATTGAGAGAACCAACATTGCCTTCCTTTTTGTACTAATTTAGGAAAAAAATGTCATAAGACTTTCAATAGGTACCTACTTTGGTACACTGATACAAGGTCTTTTGGCACATATATTAATTTATGTTACTATATTACATACTTCAATTTAAAACAACAGAATCTTACAACAAGTAGAACAAGTATTTTTCAGCACAGTAAATTTTACATAATTTAATATAAAAATAATACAAATAAATTAACATTACAATGCTTAGGCAGTGTAAAGTTACACAACTTGAACAATTACATGAGAAAGGTACCCTGTCTTTTAAACTGGGCATGTGCATAGACAGTTTTACAAGACTTACAATAAGTATGTGACCAAAACTATGGGTGTAGGTGTCAATGAAGTTTGTGTAGAAATTTGTGCTATGTCAAATAAAAACAATTTATTTGTATGATCAAGTAAGTATGTAGTATGTGAAAAGATATAAAGGATTGTGATGTAAATGTGGAGTGGTACTGCATGTATGAGGTATAGCGTATGTGCTTTATGGCGCATCCACACATGCCCGGCGGCATGGCCGGCGGCCGTGCCGCCGGCATTTGCCGCATCTCAGCCGCGACACGCGCGGCTTTTGGTTGCCGGCGGCAGTTTGCTTGCGGCTTCGATACGGAGTGGTAGTGTAGTCGTATTCATATATAACATAATTTAACAACACTACTGCGAAAATTGCAACCGCATCTGTAGGCCGCCGGTAAAGCCGGCGGCCTGCATTCAGCGGCAAGGCGGTCTGAAACCCGGCGGCATGTGTGGATGCGCCATGAGGAGTACTAGAGAGAGTGTAAGTAGGCGTATAGGTACAGTTACTGTCAAAAACATACTTACTTTGAATCTCCTGCTGCATTTGCATTGCCCCACGCGCAACAGTAAATGGGGTCATCGTGTGCATTCTCTTTCTTTATTAATATTGAATACTGAAATGTTTATACGATACTTTAACACAAAATAAACAAACGCCCGGCCGTACGGAGGTATTATTAAATATTTATTTTTATGCATTAGGATAAGGGTATGATACTTGCCACAGCTGCTGCAGGCATTGTGCTTTACTTGTATACAAAATGCCTAAAGACTATCAAATTTAATAAGTATCAGTAATAACAAATCAGGGAGGAATTTCACACAAAAACATATGGATGGTTGACAGTATGAAACAGCTAGCTTTTGACAAATGTACTTACGTTCGGAAATTAAATTAATACAATGGTCCTTACACCATAAGTCTACACATTGGGCCGCGTTTGATATTATACATAAAAATAAAAACCAAAAATGTCCGACAGATGCCTTTTTTACTAATAAAATTTTTGAACTATGGCATGCGTATTAAAGCTTTCATTGGTCAATGCTTTCATTGCAATAATGATAGATTCATTGCAAATATATTTTACGGTTTTGAGAATAGCCATTTTGCAAATAACTATTCTTAAGCAAATACCCTTTTCTCACAATATTATGAAATTTTAAAAACGGAAAAGACCTTTATGATGCTGAATGAAACGGGTTAGTTTCATTACCGATTACTGCTTCAAGATTGTAAATACAAAACTACTGTACATACTTAAAATACTTTATTTATGTTATTTAAAATATATACATACATAGGTGTGTACTTAGTTGCAACTACGTAAGTTATAATGGGCAGTCATAGACGTTTATACTCTTGTCTTCTGAAACTGATACAATTTTATTACTTTCAGCATTGAATTTGACGCCCCAAACCTGAAACAATTGAAAAATTACATACTGTCTCACTTCCCTGAGCAACTTGCATGGCCAAAAGGTATACAAAAAGTTGATTCCTGTGAACGAGTGGAAAATGCACCATGTACCTATTGTTTTTATTTAGAACATAATATTTACAAACTGAAAAGCAAGTAAATTAAATGAATATATTTTTGGCACCTGATCATTGTGTTCTTTAAACACATTTTGACACTGCATTCCATCCAGATCCCAAACACGTACAGTGCGATCCGCACTGCTAGATACAAATCTTTTACCGTCGGGAGAAAATGCCACAGAAAGCACCCAGGACGCGTGACCAGAAAGAGTACCCGCTAAGTTTGCATGAACACTGAAAAATAAACAATTGTTTTGAAACTTTATCATAAGTCAACAACTCATTGTGATATCACTTTCATATAATATGATTAAAACAGTTTATACATAATATATTTCACATTTTCTTGTTTTAATTCCATGATATATATTCTATCATATAATTTTTTTTAAAGGTTAAGTTGTAATTACTAACACATCATAAAGCTTCATATGTCCATCATCAGATGCGGTAAGCAACAACTGCGAGTCTGGCGAAAAGCAGAGACTGCGTATTGGCATAGCATGACCTTCTAATGTGTGAACCAGCTTGCCTTGAGCTACGTCGAAAATGTTGATAATCCCGTCAAGAGCTCCACTTGCTATGTATTTGCCATCTGGACTCTACCATAAAGTAATAAAAATAGGATAGATAAAAATAGCAAACATACAACACAAAATGAGGCTAACATTTGCATTCTATTAAACCTTTATTCAGTGTTTAAAGAATGTAAATGTTAGTTAACTCACAATACTGTAAATAAACTTATTATATAGGAAATGAAACTATTTTTCCGGATTTAAATAGCGTATATTTGTTTTTCAAACAAACCGACGTTTCATGAACAAGTCAAACAAACAAGTCTGCAGTCTACAAGCATGTCATGGATAAACCTACACATTTAGTGAAGTTTGACAAACCTCAGGTCCTTGCAAAAGATGTCCGTTATCTACCCAGGATGCTGCGAGAGGCCATTGAAATTAAAAAACATCCTAATTTCAACAGGGAAGATGGTTTCTCTATACCACCAGTTTGGGATCCAGTATTTCCTCTAATGAAAAATCCCAAACAGACATAAGACAGCAGTACTAATTAATATGTTTTAGTTTATTCTAATTTCTATTATTAATTAATAATAAATTGAACTTAATAAAAATTCATGCAATAAAATAATTTGTAAAACTTAATGTAGTGTAAATTGGAATGTTTTCTATAATGAAAAAATTGGTGGTTTGCATTAATATTAGACATAACTGGTTGAAGACTGTACCACCTCAGTCAACCGTGACCATGGGACCTGCAAGGGCCCGAAACTTCAGTTTGTTTGAAAAAACAAATATACGCAATTTAAATCTGGAAAAATAGTTTCATTTCCTATGTGTAACAATTGCGAAAACCTAAGAACTCGATAAACTTATTACACTTAACAACTCTGTAGTTAGGTACCTTCTCCCGCCAACCTACTTTGCAAAACGGCTCGGCTCAGAAGACTCTAGAAGCTTGTCTCACTATAATGAAAAAACTTTGTATAAAAATTCTACAATTTTAATATGTTTTAAATATTTATAATTAAAATTCAATTATTTATTACTTGTAGCAGAGACGTCTCATCATTGTCATGTTGTCATTTCATTCTTTCACTGGAAAGGCTAAAAAAACGAAATTGTTTGGGACCATATTGTGGTAAATTCAATTCCCAGTTCCTATGGCAATGCTTGTGCTATCAGGTAACCAACTTTAAAATTTGAAAACAAGAAGTGTAAAATGTAATTCATCTCCCTTTACTTATTAATTTTCTACTTACGTAAGCAACACTCAAAGTGAATTTCCCTCTAGTGTCCAAAGTCTGTTCCTGTTTACCAGTCTCAACTGAAAATATCAGTATTTTGCCCGCATTGCTGCCAGAGATCACATGTTTACCATCAGGGGAAAAGTCTAGTGTCCATACATCCGTGGCCCCAGTTTCCATTGTTTTTAATTTATCCCCCGTTGCTATGTCCCAAATGATCAATGAAGAGTCTTGTGAACTGCTGGCTAAAGCTTTAAACATAATAATGTAAGATTTAAAGTTACATTCTTTCTTTAGTGATTCCCTAAGTGAAATTTAAGTAATTTTGTATAAGCCAAAGAACTAATTATTATTGTTTCTAATAGACATATTATGACATTGCATAAATGAAGTACTATAATTATTGATTTATTTGTTTTGTAGTTACAAGTACAAAAACTCACTTTTGCCATCAGGGCTGACAGCAACAGAAATAACACCAAGAGAGTGCCCTTCCAATTGGTGTTTCATTTCTAGTCGACCATTATCCAGTTGCCACACTTTTATCAAATCATCTAAACCTCCAGTGATTATGTAGTTCTCTGAGCTCTCTTCTGTATTATTTGATTCTCTGAAATAGTTAGGATGTGCGATGAGTGGATTTTGTACTGAAAGATATATAAACTATTTATATAATATAAAAAAATTGCAGTAAAGTTGAGCATTATGTGAAACATACTAAGTTCAATTCTCAAAGGAAAAATTTAGATATGAGCTTTTCTAAATAATTTATACTTTTCTAGTTTTGGTTTAGTAACTAGTACAGTCAGTATCACAATTATTGAAGCATTAAGGATCGTATTCTAGAACTCTACTCAAAGCTCAAGTAAGGATTGCACTGGAAACACAAGCACTGGAAATACGACCCTAATGGCAGGGACTTGAGTATGATTTCGAGTGCTTTGAATCATACTCAAGTCCTGACTTGAGCATTGAGTAGAGTTCTGGAATACGACCCTAAGAGTGTTCATTGGTTCATTGTTATTTTTGTATGAAACTTAAAATTACCTACAGCAATTGAAAATGTTCTATAAAATCATTAAGTATGACAAGGTTGAATTTGATTAAATGTTCTCATATTTTATACGTCTTTTGAGTGCTGAGATTAATTTCACAACTTAATTTGATAATTTTATTGATGCAAAGATCGAATACAAACAAAATTCCTTCAATTTGACTGGACCCAAAATAATGTTTGTCAAAATCTTAATTATAGTTTGAAGAATTAGGTTGGCTAAAATTAATATGTCAAAAATAAAAAAATTGAGAATTGCCTGTAAAAAAAGAAAAGCCTGACTGAAATATCTGTGGACTTAAAATAATACAACCTGAAACTTTTGATATGGTTAGCATGAAAATATTTCAGGGTATTTTTTAAATTAGATAGAAAAACAATAACAAAATAGATATATGACCGACCAATAGAAGACCGCCGACATCAACCCGCCTGACTGTATCGCCGGGTCGACGGGCCTGATGTGTAGAAAGCTGTACTATTACAGAATGGGCGAGAGAGTGGTAACGTTACATGAAAAGTAACTGAGAGTCGTATTCTAGAACTCTACTCAATGCTCAAGTCAGGATTTGAGTATGGTTTAAAGCACTCGAAATGATACTCAAGTACCTGCCATTAGAGTCGTATTTCCAGTGCTTGTGTTTCCATTGCAATCCTGACTTGAGCATTGAGTAGAGTTCTAGAATACGACCCTTAGGGTCGTATTCTAGAACTCTACTCAATGCGACCCTAAGGGTCGTATTCTAGAACTCTATTCAATGCTCAAGTCAGGATTTGAGATGGTTTAAAGCACTCGAAATCATATTCAAGTCCCTGCCATTAGGGTCGTATTTCCAGTGCTTGTGTTTCCAGTGCAATCCTGACTTGAGCATTGAGTAGAGTTCTAGAATACGACCCTAAGATAGGGTCTATAGATATTTTTGAAGTTTTAAATGCAAACAAAAATCCTAAAAATAAGGTACAGATGGCACCACATCAAGCTACACATTGACGGATTTAATTCACTGCACAGGTGACGATATTCCAAGAAAAGTGTACGATGTGCACTGTACATACTGTTGATAAATACTAGAAAACTGTTTTGAACTTGTGAAAAATTGTTTAGAACAATTTGAGATAAATTGTTCTAAACAATTATGAAATATGTTTATGAGGTTATGTTACTGACTGCATATTTTCTTCATTATCTTCTGTATTTTCCACATCATTTGGCGTTTCTTTATTTATTTTACTCCAACCACAGCACCAAATCGCATCTTCGTGAGCGTTCTCCTTTTTCAATTGTAAATAATACTAAAAACAAAACAAATTGCGGTAGATTTTTTAAAATATTCCCGGTTTAAGTTAACTCTGCACAAACTTGTAAATGGCATTCATACCAACGTTGTAATTGACATCGTTAATATTTGATACCGTAAATAACAAATTATTATTCGGGTCAATACAATATCAATCTAGAAAATATTTTAAACAGAGTTCGACCACTGAACTGTTTTCCATCCTCTAAGCCAAACCGGGACCAAACCAACTGCGACCACAGACTTTTTTTTTGTTTTTTTTATTCAAAAAGGACAGCTTAGGTCAAAGACCATACTGTCTCGTCTTCAGAGGTGAATTTCTGACTTTACGAAAGACACTACTTTTATCAGTGAGCATAAATAATACTAGAGACGCAATGTCCTGCAAACAATTATACCGCATTTACACTATCGTACTGGCTACACACGAACGTTTTGTCGAAACATTCGTGTCGAGTGGTTGAAACGCGTTCTCACATTCGTGCGAGTGCCGATGCGAATAGCGACGCGATACACGACACGCATGTGTAAACGGTCAGTTCGCTATTCGCATCGCGACTCGCATCGCCACCCGTTGTGCGAGATTAGGCACTAGGCTTGTATAGTTCATGAACTACGAACTATTAGGAATATATTCCCTATACTGACCGACATGAACTAGTTCGTCTTGCACGGTTTTAATAGTTCATCGTTATTTTTAGTTCAGTACGAACTAGGAACTGTCTGCATTGATAGTTCACCTGTCTTTTGTACAGTAGGAACGGTGTGAGCGGGACCAAAAGTGATCTTTCACTACTTTTAGTACAAGTTCGAGTGGGATGCACGATTGAACGTTCCCAGCTCGTTCTTAAGTCTCTAATACGTATCTACATTATATACATATACAAGCTTGCAAAAAAGTAATATTTTTTGGTAGATATCTGTATGTATAATATCAACCTACGTGTACCAGTATATGAAATAGTTGTACCTAAATATTGATTTTTAAATATACCATTCTAACTAAAATACTTCTTTTGTAAAAAAAACGGATATTTAGTTAGAATAACAGTCTTTAAACGCGATGACATTACAATTTAAATTTCGAATAGGTTGACTTGGGACATTTTTTTCGTGGTTTTTATATTAGACCCGTCGTCCATTTATTTGTAAGTCAATGCTTTAAACCTATAAAATGTGAAGGAAAATCAAATAGTACCGATTCCATACAAATTGTATTTTTAAATATTTAGCACAGTGTAGTATTGACCTCTGTTGCTATCTTGTCCCAGATAAATGACAAAGCACCAGATCCAGACAGTATAACAAATGAACAAATGAAGAGCAACCTCCCAGGTACGGTCAAGAGTCTAACTAAGTTATACAACTCCATACTCGAATCTGAATTTATCTCCTCACAATGGATAAACAGTACCATCATACTCATACACAAGAAAGGAGACAAAGGAGACATGAATAACTACCGTTCCATAAGTCTGATGTCGAATGTATACAAAATATTTTCTAAAATCATACTAAACCAAATCGCGAAAAGGCTAGATGAAGAGCAACCCAAAGAAGGTTTCAGGTCGGGCTTCTCCACCGTAGACCATATGCACGCCATCAACAAGTTATTGCGAAATCACAAGAATATGGGTACCCACTATACATAGGGTTCATAGACTACAATAAAACTTTCGATTCTATAAACCACAATCACATCTGGATAGCACTACAAAAGCAGAGTATTGAAAAGAAATACATAAGAGTCATAAAGAACATGTACCCTAACAGCACAGCACAGGTGAAATTAGAATATCTGGGAAAACCATTTCAGATACAGAAAGGAGTCCGACAAGGTGACCCACTCTCGCCATTTCTTCTCAGCGGTCCTTGAGAATATCTTCAGAAACCTCGAATGGAATGATAGAGGCATAAACATAAACGGTGAAAGACATAACAATCTAAGGTTTGCAGACGACTTAGTAATATTTTTCCACGATCCTGTTTCCCTACAATACATGAATACAATGCACCTAAAATCGAAGAAGTAGGCTTAACTATTAATGAAGCAAAAACCAAAGTAATGACAAACATATCTGAAAAGCCTCTAACTGTAGATGGAGAGTACATTGAATATGTAGGATCCTACATTTATCTGGGCCAATTAGTGTCATTTAGTCATCAAACTGAGCAAGAACTAGAAAGAAGAGTTACCAACTCTTGGAACCAATATTGGTCACTCAAAGACGTTTTTAAGAACAAGCGCTATCCAATAGCAGCAAAAAGAAAGGTCTTTAACATCTGCATCCTCCCACTTTTGACCTATGGATTCCAATCGTGGGCATTGGCTTGTAAACACCATCAGAAACTCACAACCTGTCAAAGAGTCAAACCTGTCAAAGAGGAATGGAGAGAAGTACGCTGGGATTCTCTCTAAGAGACAAAAAGAGAGCTACAGCCATACGAAATTAATTGCCAAAATAAATTGGAGGATGTCACCACAAAAAGCAAAACACTAAAGTGGAAGTGGACTGGCCACATGTACAGGGAAAGAATAGATAAGTGGACAAGAAAGGTAACAGAATGGTTACCAAGAGAAAACGCCAAAAGGAAAAGAGGTCGTCCCTATAACAGATGGTCCGACGACTTTAAAAAAAATAGCTTCTATGGACTAGGCTGACAAGGGACAGAGTCAAATGGATAGAGCTGGGGGAGACCTATGCGTCTTCAGGATGCGCTGATGTTATAGTTTAAGAGTCGTATTCTAGAACTCTACTCAATGCTCAAAGCACTAGAAATCATACTCAAGTCCTTGCCATTATGGTCGTATTTCCAGTACTTGAAATCATACTCAAGTCAGCTCAAATCCTGACTTGAGCATTGAGTAGAGTTCTGGAATACGATCCTAAGTAATTTATGAATATAATTATATGTCAGTATAGAATAGGTTAATAAATAAATAGAAAAACTATTGACCTCATAATATTCGAAGTCCGTAGTAGTTCATGTGAATAAAATTACTAGTTTGGAGCGTTCGTTCAATTTCCGAGTAAGGACAAGACGAACTAACTAACTAAGGAACTAGATGAACTAAATGAACTAGAAGATCGACCTAGTTCAGTTGACCGATTGAACTAACTAGGATCGCTCCCGCTAAGGACCGATCAGGCACAAGTCTATTAGGCACGAGTGGCGACGCGAAGTTAGATACGTACGAGTAGCGATGCGAAGTTACAGTTATTCGCAGTGTTGCCACTGTAGCCAGTTTTTATATATAGAGATTTAATCAGATTTACGAAATTATTATCAACTTTTAGTAAGAAAAGTAAAAAATTGGAAAAAAGCGAAAATAAAGATTAACCTTCAATATCACAAGATGATAATGGTTTGATTGATATTGATGATAATTATTTTTTCGATTTATAATATGTAAATTTAGTTTTTTTTTTAGTATATTTTAGTTTTCACAAATGCAGTGAGCATAAATAAATATAATATCATTGCATACATGCCAGTCCTTTACATCTAACTAAACTTTTCAATAATAATGTAATATGCCCAAAGCATAGTCGTTCTGTTTATTTTTCGGTTCTGTACTTGACGAAATCATTAATAAGATGACACTTTCGTTTAATCTATGAATACGATCTAGACGGTTTGACTATGCTACGCTATACTATTTTTAAGCGCGTTGAAGTGAATCGATTAAAAACATCGCTAGATCGTATGTAATTGAATTATTTATCGTATCGTATGCAATTGAATAAAAATTTAACCGTAATCCTCATCATCAAGCCACAAGATAAACTGTCAAATAGAAAGGAATGCACGATTTTATGCTTTGAACCGATTCGTATCAATCGATCGTAATGGATCTTATGCTTCTGAATTGATCCACAGATCGGGTCGTGTACTCTTGAATAGATCTCATAAAAATAATTTTAAAATTAATTTCAATAAAATAAACATTAAACAGCCTTGTTGACTTCAGTCAGTTACGACTTTCCTTTATAGTTATACTAGCCAGTGGATAAGATATTTGGCAAAGAAGCAGCGAAAAAATGAAAGACTCATTGTGCTTAGACGTTGCTAAACTGCTTTCAAGAAAAGCATGTTAAAAGTATATTGATAAAATAGGGGTTTAGAAAGTGATAATTTTGTTTAAATTATGAATACGATCTATATGATTCGATTCGCCTCAATGTTTTATCGATCGAAAAATTGCATTGAAATTAACAAAGCATATCAAGCTTAACATTTTGTACTTTAGACCGTTCTGTAAGCGGCATAGAGTTGGATTTAAGTCTTACGTGTCAAGCTTGACGTGCTCTTGACCCTGTTCACTTGAATTGATCTTCGTAAAATCGAATCGTAGGTAGTGTGCATCCCTACTGTCAAAACAACAATAACGGCTGCGATTGTTCAAAGATCCCTCAATCCCAGTGGAAAAATATACGTGTAGCCTTCGTTTGTAATTAAAATTTGGTTGCAAATATGTCTGAAGGGCTGTTTTCAATTTTTGGCGATCGATTCGTAACACAGGCTGTGCAAAATGTGATCCGGCAGCCACTATCTAATAACGGTAAAGTTCCACCATACGCAATTTTTGTTAAGAGCCTATTGTATCAATTACGTATATTATGTCTTATTTTTAACTTTATATTTTCCTATAGAAAATATTGGCAAAACCGTTAAATCGGTTTCTACCGGTCCTGTAAAGCCTAATGAGCCAGTAAAAAAGGCGGGAGAAATTAAGAAATCTTTTCTCTCGAAGAAGGGTACTGCGTTACGTGATATCCAAACTCCACAAAAACCTCTAACTCCTAGATCAAAGAACATTGAAACGTCAGCAAAGAAGATGTTTTGTTCTCCTTTCATTTATAGTGACGAAAATGAGAATAATGAAAATATCCAGAAGCATTTGGAGGAAATGGAATTCACAAAGCATACATATAAATGTAGTAAGTTCAGTCTCTATTTGTTTTTTTATTTCATATAATACCTATGTAGTCGATTCATAATGAACAGTTATCAAATTTTAAAATTAATTACTATTATATAGGTGGGTACTTGATATAAATTTCTTAAAAAGTAGATTCTGTAGGAAATCCTATGTGTGATAATCGCGAAAATGTAAGAACTCGATAAGTAGATTCTATTTTTTGTATATAATATTATATACATATATAAGAACATTCCTCCTGAGTGTTTATTAACTTCATCCACCAATGCAATTATTAGTAGTCCCTCTTGTCAAATAAAATATTACTAATGTACCCTTTACTCCATTTCACTTATTATTAGTATTCAAATTGGTAGTGTTGGAAATATTTCACTAAAATCATAGCGAATAATACATTATTGATGGAATGAAATGTTACGTAATGTCTGCTTTATTGTGTAACTGTACAAGTTACAAATGTACTACATTTTTAAAGATGCTGCAGAGCCTTGAACACCACTGTAAAGTTCCTAGCTTATCCATATTCTACAGGATATATTGTGTAGAGTGTGCGAAGGAATTGAATGACCTAATTATGCCTTCCCCTTTCCATCATAGGGGTTACTAGACGTAGGCTGGGGTTCCATCCCTGTGTTGTGAATAATCCTAGGATTTGCAGGAAGCATTACACTTCCACATCAATGTGGCGAACAGCTAAGGAGTAGAATTCCTTGCCTACAGACTTATTCCCCAATCGCTATAAATTGCGCCTATTTAAGATGAGAGTGAATAGGCATTATTTAGGTGTGCATGCTAGATTGTCGACCTAATTGTCCCTTACCATCAGGTGAGATGGAGTAGCAATGTGCATTTATTTTTTATAAAAACAAAATAAAAAATTAAAGTCATACTATAGTTAAACAACTATTATATTATATTATTCTGTGCATGTTATAATTACCTCTAATTCAATATTACATATATCTGATTACAGATAATTACCACTTGGACATAATGGATTTCTTATTTGAAGAGCCAAAAGTACTAGAGCACTCATCTCCACCAAATACACCAACTCCTAAGGCTTCCAATCACATATTGGAACGAAATGATTCTTTTGATGATGATTTCTTTGAAGGTACACCCTTGTTATTTTAATGAATATATTTTCTTTTGTTTCTATGATACTAATCAAGGACACTCAGTCAACATATTAATTGAACAAAATTTGGAGAGATGTGTACACACACAGTACTAGGTTGTTTAAAAAATTCACATATTGAATTTCTGAATGTTTTTTGCAGATGACCTGGCAGACAATGGTTACCCTGCTCTATTTGAAGATGACGATCTTCCAGAACTCTACTAAACCAAACCTAATGACTAGAATTCCGATTTGAACAGTTATTAATTAATAACTTATGCTTATAGGCCTGCCAGAATCTCAAAAATACAATTTTTTCTAAGTTAATTAAATAGTGATTTAGTATTGGTTATACTACCAATTTCGTTTGGATTAATCAGAGCTCTTTGAAAAGTCTTAGTTTTATGTTAACTTACATTATGACTAACAAAGACAAGATTGTATTTGTATATACTACATCAAAATATGTGACATGCATCACGTTATGAAAATGTGTGACAAAACAAAGATGACTTTGTACCCACCACGTACCACACGATTTTGCCGCAAAGCAGTTGTTGTAGAACGTCACTGTTATAAAACTACGATAAAATTATATAATGCGTGATGGAGGATATAAAATCAATCTTAAGGTATTTTTAAAAAATGCGATAAATAATTATCCTACTCTTAATAGGATGTAATTATGAGTCGTAAAGAACTGATTCATCATCACTGGTTCATTGCATCTATCATGCAATTAAGTGATGGTATTTGAGGGAGTTGTTTAGTTTAGAATTTAGCTAAATTAAAGAATAATGTGCATTGACTTACAAATAAATGGACGACGGGTCTTATACAAAAACCACGAAAAAAATGTCCCAAGTCAACCTATTTAAACGTAGTGACATGTAAAGGAATATGAAAAAGCTAAAACATTGAATTTAAATTGTAATGTCATCGCAGTACTGTCTAATTTTGCTTGCTTCGCTGTCAGTCAAACAAACGAAGACTAAAGCGTGAATGACGCTCTGTATACGATTTTAACGCCCTATAAGTTCGGACACTTTAGTGCGGAGCCGACGTCCATATAATTGTAAGTCAATGATAATGTGGCATTATTATTTTTTATTAAATATATGCTACAAATTATTGCCTCGAAAAATAATATACTTTAGCCATTTAAAAACTACACTTGAACAAAAACTTATATTTTGGAATGTTTAGAAAATAAATAATAAAAATAAATTTTGTACGCATTGATGATGAAATAGCACAATAGTCCATACTAAGAAAACGTTCATACTATATGTAAATTAACTCCCTCAATTCCAATCACTGGTAGGCAATTTAATTATAGACAAACTTATTTTGTTCACTGAATAAAGACAATCTTAATAATAAAATTATTTTTTGTTCTCTTTGTTGCCATGAACAAGTTACAGGGCGTTCTGCCTTTTTAGCTTCTCAAAGATAACCGTCAGGATGGCTGGTCGCCTATGGCGCCTGGTTATGAGTGTATATTCAAGAAGTGCTACCTTTGATATATTCTGAGAATTTTAAAAAAATGGCTGGTTGCCACTTTGTTCGGCATGAAGGGAGCAGATTTTCCAGAAGTATGTATTGCCAATAATTGCTACCTATTTGCTACTTTCACGAATTAAAGGTACCTATACGCTATAAAAGTGCCAACGCCTGCCCTTTATATTGTGGCAATAAAGCACTAAAAAGTTTTGCTTTTCGTAGATATAGAGATTGCGTAGATGTAGATAAGAAGCGTATTCTTTTAATTCGTGAAAGTGCCAAATAATAACTAATAATATACCTCGCCTCACAAATTTTTATTTATATATTTTAGTATTCTATCTCCCCTTAAACCTCCTCTACTATTTATTCCATTTAAATATATTGAACAAAATAACATACGTCTAAAACATTTATCATGTGCCCAGCATGGTTTTATGTTTTTGCTTACTAAGTAAGTAGTTATCTTCTTCTTTTAAATGTTATGGCTCCATCGAAATAATCAATGACTTTGCCAATGTCAAGTACAAATAACTATGTACGGTAGTTTAATATTATTATAAAAATTATACAAAAAAAATGGCGATTTCGCCAATGTCCTGTGAGAATATCAGTAATATCAGTTAGTCAAATAACCTCGTATTTTGTCTTTGTCCATAGGATGATACAATCATAGATTTATCGAAATCTATGGATACAACCAATCGTCGTCGCTTTAGTGCGTTCCTGGCTTAGAGGATGGAAAAAAATAAAAGAAAGGAGCTGCCCTAAGTACAGAATCAACGTGCATATTACCAAAATTTGAAAGTTACAAATGGCGGATTTCTTTAGTGTTGTACCATAATCTATCGATAAGTCATTATCGACATGCAAATGTATGGCTTGAATTTTTGTTTCTTTAGTTTACTGTAACCAAAGTATGCCTAAACATACACAAGTCTGATAATTTAATCTCGAGTGGTATATTATTATAAATGTCAACACACATTTTTAAACTTCAAAAAAAATTTATTTTCAACATTACAACTGGTAACTTATTTAGTAAAAGTCACCAAACTGCTGTGCAGTTTGTTGGCGACATGCGCATTCTTGCTTAATTATACCTACTTTACTTGTATTTAACATTACGTAGTATTAATTGTACTTACTAAATAAAATATAAAAATTACTTTAAGAGGTACGCCTTTAACCTACATTTTAGTACATATTTACATAACGTCTTTTAACTAATCGTCAAGTACAAGTCTATTCAGGTTTCTGCGGATTCTAGTATTCCCGTTAATTCCCGGGCTTTCTTAAGCAAATGAATCTATCAAGCAATTTTAACACAGAAATAATGAAAGTAGTTGTAAAAATCAATTATCGGAAATCAACAATTATCATGTACTAGCTTTTCCCCACGACTTCGTCCGCGTACAATTTTTATACAAATGAAAAATATTCAAGTATGAACCAAATCGCACCACGTGTTAAAAAGTTACCATACAAACTTTATTACCCCATTTCGCCGCATTTTTTAAAAACTGTCATGCCATTTTTTTACCATTTTTATTGTAAAATATTTATGCAAAGTTTCGTCTTTGTAATTTCAAGGGATATTATTTTTCATGCAAACGTTTTTAACCGTTATAAAACGAGTATGCATTTCATATGCGGACGGACTAACGTGTGAACGCTATTGGTCGAGCGCCTTTGGTTTGTGATAAGCCGAATGAACTCTATACACGTTGGCGCTCGCCTTCACTCGGTCAGCTAGGCGAGTGACACCGAACAAGGCAAGGCAACCCAAATAGGCTGTCTATACGTTGGTATGTTGTCATTGTATTGCAGGCTTTAAAAAAATAGTCATTTTTAATAGTTAGAGTTGTCATTGGGAAAAATCAGAAACGAGTGGATAATTTTGTTTTCAGGAACTGAGAATAGCTTTACTAGCTATGAGTCTTGTTTAATCTAAATTGAACATAAAATTATTTACCAATAAACCTAATGATGGAATAGCATTGTCATGTAATCTAGTTACATTTAAAGTTCTGTTAAAATTTGACTCTTCAAAATGAAGCGAACAAATGAAGATGGTCTTTGATCCAACGTTTATATTCGGCAGTCCTATGATTTCCAACCATTCTTTCTTCCTTTTTTCATTTGTAGGAAAACTTGAAATAATAATAATAAAACAATAAAAACCTCATAGTGAATTGTTTTAATAACAGAATATCGATAATGTGTATGCTTACAAGATCAACACTATCTCAAAATAATCGTTAACAACAATCATCAAAATATACAAACAAACAGGCAATCTAAAGTAACAAAAGCAAAATTTGGCAAGATTTATAAATAAACTACTTAAATAAGTCTAATTACATAAAATATTCGGGCTATTGTGTGATTTATAGACAAAAAAATAACACATGCCTGTGCAATGTAACATTCGATTGATTTGCAGTTTTTCTAAAGCCGCATCCTTTAATGCTGCAGCGTCGCATTTTTATTAATACCTAATTATTCTCACTGTCAATATTTTTGTCCAATTTAATTATAATACATGTGAATAATTCAATAATACATTTGGAAAAACATTTGTTTTGACATTTGATGTACTTCCCTTTGACAACGGTATCATGTACCTCATGTACTTGAAATGGCCACGGTTGGCATTTAAAATGACGTTACGAATTTTCGATTCCCGTGTTTGACACAGACCAATGTAATGCTATCTCTTTTGGCTTAAGACGGCACGTAATAGTTAAACAAAGACAATAATATGTTTATGTTTTCGACGTCGAAATGCATCATATACATATAACGTCTGATTTATATATGTCAACGTAACATGTCCTTTAGTTTCCATAGTCTAAGGTTCCTGGCGTTCCTGGCATAGGTTCTTGGCAATCTCGTTATAATCCGTGTATTTCTTTTTTGTTTTCAGCCTCTAAACCGTGTATCTTTCAACCCGGACACTGGCAGAATTGTCCTCAGTGGGACAGAAGCCAAAAGAAAAAGAAAAAGAGTTATCATACTATCATAGTACTAAATAACATTAGCATTTATTTATGCTACATCATAACACTTAAGTTATCCAATTGATTGCTACCATCAAGTTATGAAAATGTATCTAATATTCCCTGTTTGTAGAGTCAATGTCATAGGTGCAAACATTCTTACCACTACCTCACCTCACTGGAAGTAGGACATTGTACCGCCTCATTTTTTTAAATGAGTTACTCCCTCGAACTCATTTTAATTTCATGTCCTACCCAACATTACTGCGCGCCGCTTTGAACAAAAACGTAAAAATTTGAAATATTTTTGTTGGCTTCTTCGGCTGCACGTTAAGTCATTAACATTATACAACATATTATTTTAGCCAAATGTATCCGAAGACATATAATGACGTCAAGTCGAACAGTTTCGTCAGTTCCCGTTGTCAAGTAAAAAAAAAAATTACAATATTGTGATGCTTGCTTATGTGTGCTCATTGTCTGCTGTTTCTGATATTATTTCTTGCTTTCGTTCCTCATTTAATCCAGATATTTTCAGTGAAACATATTTTTAAAGTAAGAAGTGTTATTGTTGCAATCTAAGCCGGATTAAACAAGTGACTCCGCCATGGCGATGTCAAAATCGACGAACACCTATAATCGCCAGAATTGGGAAGATTCTGTAAGTTTTTGACAATAAATTAATGTTACGCACTTTATTCATATTGTTTTAGATGTGAGTAACGTTGGTTTTTTTTACAGGATTTCCCAATTTTATGCCAGACATGTTTAGGAGATAACCCTTATATACGAATGGTAATGTATTGACGAAATCTTTTTGACCTTATGTGAACGTAGTTACTAATTACACGGCATCTTGTTCACAGACCAAAGAAAAGTATGGCAAGGAATGTAAAATTTGCGCTCGTCCATTCACAGTCTTCCGTTGGTGTCCCGGTGCGAGAATGCGCTTTAAAAAAACAGAAATTTGCCAAACTTGTTCCAAACTGAAGAATGTATGCCAAACATGCCTATTAGATTTAGAATATGGGCTGCCAATACAGGTTAGGGATGCAGCTCTGAAAATACAAGACGATTTGCCAAGAAATGAGGTGAACAAGGAGTACTATATCCAGAATTTGGATAATCAAATGGCTAAGAGCGACCCAACGCAACCTAGCAACTCTGCTTTGAAGTCTAAAGGAGCTTCAGACTTGTTGCTGCGTTTGGCGAGAACTGCACCTTATTATAAGAGGAATAGACCTCATGTATGTTCATTTTGGGTGAAAGGCGAGTGCAGGAGAGGTGAAGAGTGCCCGTACCGACATGAGAAGCCTACTGACCCTGATGATCCATTGGCTGATCAGAATATTAAGGACAGGTAAGTTATAAGTTGTACAAATACTTTTCACTCTGAGAAGAATATATATATATATATTCTTTAAGAATATAGATATAGAAGCGCGAGATATTGCTAGTCTCTATGCAAGATCAGCATCTTTGATGTCTTGCTTTCTCCACCTAACACAATCTTTTCATTCAAGCTAGTTTATGTTAGAACTATTCTCTGGGTTATTTTAATGACATAATTTATTACAGTTTCACATGAGTGAGTCATGTGTCTATGCTATGGAACAACCTAACCCACATTTTCATTCATGATCACTCATTCACTACAATAATTATGATAATTGTGGTCAGATGTTTGAATTGCTTATTTTTGATAATACAAAAATAGTGTTGTCAGAAATTTCACTGATTCACATCATCAAATCTTCAAGCTGTTATCAAATGATAACAGAAAAACTTGAAAATCTTTAATTGTTACTATTTCTGTCTCAAAAAAATGAAATTATCCTGTCCTGTTATCCTGTTATGATTATTTGTCCTGTTGAGTAGTAGCTAGCTTACAATGTGTAAAAGTTTTGCTTAGGCGAAAATATTCATTTGCAAAAATAATAGGGGTTAAACTATGAAATTGCCGATTTGTACTGAAAATCTAAATTGTTTATTTTTTAAATTTTTAACAAATTTATTTAATCAAAATAGTTGCCATTATTATCTATACATTGCTGCCATCTAATGGGAAGGTTATTAATTCCTTTGCGATAGAACTCCGACGATCTAGACTGCACAAACTGTGTGAAAGCATTTTGTACTGCCTCCTGGGAAGAAAACTTCTTGTCACGTAGATAATTGTCCAAATCACGAAAAAAATGGTAGTCCGTTGGAGCAAGGTCTGGTGAATACGGAGGATGACGAATGGTTTCTAACTGCAGTTCCTGAAGGGTCAAAATGGTTTCTCGTGCTGTGTGAGGTCTCGCGTTGTCGTGGAGCAATAATGGTGAAGATCGATTCATGAGTCGGGGCTGTTTTACTGCTAGTTTTGTCAACATGGTTCGGAGTTCGGCACAATAGACATCTGCCGTTATTGCTTAACCAGATCGGAGAAAACTATAGTGAATAACACCATGCTGAGACCACCGAACAGTTACCATTACCTTTTTATTGGTAAGTTTTGCTTTAGGACACTGTTGTGGCATTTGACCTGGGTTCAGCCATTGCATTTTTCTTTTCCGGTTATCATAAAGAATCCACTTTTCATCACATGTTACAATTCGATCCAATATTCCTTCATTTCTGTACCGGTCCAACAAGGCAACACAAGTTTCAACACGCGTTTCTTTCTGCAGATCAGTCAAATCATGAGGCACCCATTTTTCGTATTTTTTTATTTTATTGATTTGACGCAAGTGAGTCAATATTGTGGGTAAGGTAACGTTAAACCATGCCGCTAATTCCTGGGTAGTTTGACTAGGATCGACTTCCACTATCTCTCTTAATTCATCGTTATTCACCTGTGTGGGCGGTCTTCCTCGTGGCTCGTTCTTTAAGTCGAAATTTCCATCACGACAGCGTTTAAACCAAAATCGCACGGTGCGTTCATTAGTAGACCCCTCTCCAAACGCAGCATTGATATTGCGGGCTGTTTCTGCCGCGTTAGTTCCGCGTCGGATTAACTCGTATTCAAAAATCACTCGAATTTTCGCAGTATCCATTTTTCTTGTCTAAATTGAATAACAAAAACAATTGAAAGTCGATATTCAAATGTTTCAAATTTAAAAAAAAAAAATCACAGAAACCATTTGAAAAAAGTTTCATTCGAAAACCTCAAACCATGAAGATTCTATGAAAATTCAAAGAACCTATTGCAATAAAACGGCAATTTCATACTTTAACCCCTAATATTAGAAACCTTACAATCTTCAGCAGTCATAAGAAAACTGTCATCTTAGTCACACATTTTCCGAAATAGCAAGATCATTACGGACTTTCTTTCCACACATTGAATAAAAATTAATGCAGTAGCTTGAAATGTTGTACATTCTACAGTCGTGAAGCCACCCTTATGAAGAAAATTATTCATTAAGTATTGTTATTCTGCCCTCAGAATGCCATTCTGAACGAAAAAAGACACAGCTGCAGTATAAAGTATGCATAGTTATGCCTTTTTTCATTACGAGGGCAGTATTACAAACTCCTGTTATGAATTCCGAGTGATCTTCCATGCCATCTTCTGAGCACTTCAATAACTAGGGAGTAAAAACTTGATAGTGAAATCAGTTGTTTATAGACGACGCCATTTTATTCCATTTATAGCGTATTCATCGTCAAACACAAGCAATGGTTTGACAGATTGTTATTGGTTTTGAAAATGATTATAAATATCTTATTATTTCACTTTATATGTTAATTTTGGTACATGCGATAACCAAAAAAAAACACTTTTATTTGTACAATAATATATACATAAAAAGCAGTTGCAGTGGGCAATCAGCCTTAATAAAAAATTTCAGAGCAGGATGTTTCTTTATGTTTGGAATAAATTATGAGTAATTTATGTAAAAAATCAATAAACAACTTTTATATAATGCTATTCCAATTCCAAAAAAAAACCCTTAAACTAATATTGGATATTATGAAATTAACTATAATTAACCAGATATAATCTAGAGACATATATTGAAAAACATGAAATTTAAATATGGCCATAAACATGGAATATTGTTATATTTTCTTACAAACTTATTGAAAGTACTCTTGGGTTGTATAGCTTTTAAGGTTATTGCAAATTCGTGATGCCTAAACCCTCGCCAGTGGCAAGGGCTTAGGCTGCTAAAAGATCCACTCCATATTTGCATAATGCGTGAACTCGTTGCCGGAGACTTCGACTGCATGAAGTTGATAACGCATTAACTGCATGCAGTCAAAATCGACTTCATGCAGCCGAGATCGACTGCATGCTATTAACTGCCTCCGTGGTCAAACGGTTACCATGCCGGACTGCCACACAGAGGTCCCAGGTTCGATTCCCGGGCCGGGAGAAATAGTAAGTATGGCCTACAATTATTTCTCTCGTGAGTTTGGGTGTAATTTGTGGTTGTCTATGTGTGTGTCCATGGCATGGTTATTTATTATTTATTTATTTATTTATTTAATGCATGAAGTCGTTATCAACTTCATGCAGTCGAGGTCTGCCGTATGAAGATAATTCAACTTCATGCAGTCGAGGTCTCTGCTGCATGAAGTTAATTACGACATTAACTGCAAAACTGCAGTCAATCTGTTAGCAGCCTTTAAGTATCAACTCATTAGTAGGAACTAATATCCTACTCCAATAAAACAGTGTATAAATCTTTGATAAATATCGATTCTGTAAGGTCTTCCCTTGTAAGTGACTATATTTTTAACAGTTTAATATGTATCAATGTCTTACTGGTCACTTGAAGAGCAACATCTTTATACAAGTTTTATTCCTGTAGATACTACGGAGTAAATGATCCAGTGGCTGAGAAACTAATGCGACGAGCTGCTGCCATGCCGGCGCTGCCTCCACCAGAGGACAGGACGATCACCACTCTGTACATTGGTAACCTGCCTGATAACGTCACTGAGGAGGAACTTCGAGGACATTTCTATCAGTATGGAGAAATAAGGTAAACTCTTGTTTCTTGTCAAATTTGAAATGTGTATCTTTCTCATTGACTATTGGAAATAACCACAAAATATGTGAAGGCTTTCTAGCGATTGGAATAGAATTGTTTATGTGATATTATCAGTGTGTTTAGTTATGTGATATTAAAAGTACAAATTTTAATGAAAGAAAATTCCTCCACACAGAAATGTATATAGAATGATCTTAAAAGTGTAGAATTCATTAACTAAATTAATAAACTTTTGAAATGGGATTACACCTAATAAATAGATCATAATTATACATAGATAGATAAACACTTTATTGCTCACACACAAGAACAAGAACAGTACATAAACAACTTAAAACTAATGTGGGCAAAGGCGGTCTTATCGCTAAGAGCGATCTCTTCCAGACAACCTTAGAGTTAGAGGAAAGCTAATCGGAGCGGGAGACGTAGTGTGCCAATTTTACAAATATAAAAAGATAAAAATATAAAAAAAAACAAAATTGTATAAAAAAAAAAAAAAAAAAAAAAATTAAATAAAGACACAGTAATTTATAAAATATTGAAAAAATAATGATATATTATACCTACGTAGATATATGTATATATAAATATACATAAATAAACTTATACTTACTAATAACTTATACTTACTAATACACACGTTGCAGACTAGGACTGTGATAAAAGATATTTACGCAATCCGGTTTTGAAAATGGGTAGCGACTTAGAATGTCGGACTTCAAATGGGAGATCGTTCCACAATTTTGCAGCCTTAATTGTAAAGGAATTTTTGTAATACTCAGAGCGAGTGAAAGGAGGCTTCAGTAGGTTATCCATTTTAGACCTTAGTTCACGGTTGTGATAATTATAAACAGTATACACATGTATACTGCCAACTATTAATTTTGTTGACTATTATGATAATTAAATAATGGATGTGTCTGTTCTGTACTATGTACAGTCTATATAGTATATAAATTAATACATGATTCCATACATACATGATTGCATAAAAATGCAGTTGATGTCAAGAGACATTCTGCAACTACAGGTACACTTAATTATTTTCTTTTTCTACTATCTACGTTTCTTCCAGGTCTCTAACATTAGTACCACGCGCTCAATGTGCCTTCGTCCAGTACACCACAAGGAGCGCGGCTGAACATGTTGCAGAGAAGACCTTTAACAGACTCGTCATTGGTGGCAAGAGACTTACCATCAAGTGGGGCAAGTCACAAGGTAAATTATTGCCAAGTACTTCAATCAGCATAGGTCTTTGCAACAAGTTTTTGGATGTCAAATTTCAACTCAATCTTCAATTAATCTTTTGTAGGTCGGCAAGGCGCAAATGAGAAGAACGAAACGGCGCCAGTTCTGGAGCCTGTACCAGGTCTGCCAGGTGCCCTTCCACCACCCGCGTTCTTGCACCCATTCCCACCTCAGGTAAATATAAAAAATGATTTTGATTAATACGCACATAAAAATTGAAATAATATGGCATAACATTAAACGTGCACTAACTTTTGAAGTACACTGGACTAATTTATTACATACAAGCATTATGGTATAAACTTAATAGATTTGTATAATCTACAGATGCCACCACCACCAAATCGACCGAACGATTTTTTCAACCTGCACCACTACGGGGGGCCTGGATGGGGCCCGTGGGGGCCCCCAGGCGTCGCGCCACCCGTGCCTCCGCCGCCAGCACCTGTGGGTCTCCACTACCCGAGTCAAGACCCCAGTCGCTTGGGGGCCCACGCCCATGCAAACGCTCCGCAGACTTGAAGAAGCATTGGGTACTAAGTTTCGTAACAATAGTGTATATTTTTAATATCTCATTTTGTTGTGCTCAACTTTTTAAGGCGGGTGTAGAAATTACCGAGATTCAGAAAAAAACTAATTTACAACAGCTTGCTGTACAAAAACTGTTCATATCATCTTCATTATTTTTTTCATTGTCCCACCATCCTACTACTTGCTACAAACAAGGTCTTAATGGCATAACTTAAGGAAAATAAAATTTTGCATAAATTTAGTACATTTTGGAAATGGTCAAGAAAAATCTAATTACAATAATAATAGTCGTATCTAGAATTTATTGAGAATACATCAGTACAGATGTACAGATTTTTGTTTGTTGAATAAGCATGGATTGTATGTTAAATTGTGACGAAATATTTAGTAACGGTACATCATGCTTTACATATAAGCACGGTAATAGTTCGATAAGAATAAGAACGACTACAATGATTCATCCAAATATACGCCGATGTGCCGCTGTACGATTGGACTTAAGTATTGTAAATGTAAATAAAAGCTAATGACATTTTACAATTTAGTTTTTGTTTGTTGTACGTTTTTTGTCGCCTACTAGCTCTGTATGGCCAACCGTTGTTTATATTCGACCTGTTGTGAACGTCAGGGGGTCTACTCTCGATCTCCGTCCGAAACAATTACTGTCAAATAAGTAATATTCGACAAAATTAAAAGACAAGTATCAAGTATGAAGCTTCATTCACGCGTCTTTTCATTTGGTCAAGTATTGCTTATTTGGCAGTAATTGTTTCGGACGGAAGTCGGACGGAGATCGAGAGTAGACCCCCAGAACTCGATTCGATTAATAAATCTTCTCAACAAAATTAATCTTGCTGTACCTTACAACTATCCCAGTCAACCAGTACGAAATGTTCAATATTCCGAATCACAGGACCAATTTAGGTTTGCGTTTTCGCCTGTCCAGGGTATGTCGCGAATATAACGAAATCACGCGTGCCTTATTCTAGCGTGACTATGGTCTAGTTTTTGAAAATTGACTAGCCAGATAAAAAGTCAGAAACAAAACAAAAATAATATAATATAATAACAAAATCTGTATATTATGCAAAATTTGTACATAATATCCGAGACTAACACAGGTATAACCTTGAAACAATGAATCAATTGTATCTTCTGATCAAAGAAGCGACTAATTCTAAAATTTTGCAACTAGAACGGACAAGTTCACGACTTTTTCTAGGTGTAATCAGATCTAAGCTAGGAGTTGTGGTTCTCGAAATTCAAAGTGGTGCCGCCAGAATAAGCTTATTCCAGCGTGGACGCAAAACGGCGTAACGACTAAATATAGTTTTTACGACTTGAACTGACTAAATAGCGACTTTTTATCTGGCTAATAAAATTTCAAAAATGCGACCATGGTTACGCTGGAATAAGGTACGCCGAAATCACTCATAAGGCTCCTTTGATAGATGTTTTCAATGATAAGCCAAATGTTTTTAAAATTAAACGTTTGCATTATTCTTCATATACTGACTTCGCTGGAATAAGCTTATTCTGGCAACACCATTTTTCAAACTCGAGAACCTCAGCTCCTAGTTAAGATCTGATTCCACCCAGTATGTCGGTTCTAGTCGCAGTTTTAGAATTTAACGTTAATTCAGTTTCATTGATAGGTATGTACGTACGTACATTCACGTAGTAAAATCGTACACATAGAGGCCAGAAGGCCAGTTTCAAAAATAAATTGTCCTTGTTAGATCACTCAAGTCTTTGTATTCGCGTTCGCGGTGATTATGATTTTCAAAATTTTTCTTTTTTCACTTTACTTTTTGTGGCTTTCAAAAGGAAAATATACTCCCGGACACAACTTTCGAGCCTCCTTGAATTTTTATTTTGAAAGATCTAGAATATAAAAATATTGTTTTATTAAAGAAAAAGCAGTTTTATGCAGTTTTAATGCTGGCAGGTTCCCCCGCTATTATGGTGTGTCGTTGTTCCAAATTTGAATTTACGAATTTGAAAAACTGACAAAAGTTGTGATTCGTCATTGTTTACAAGATATTAGATTAGATATTAGAAATAAGGGAGCGTAAAGTGCAAGTCAAAACGAAATAATTTCAATATTTTTTTATTTAATTGTTTTATTTAACAATAAAGGAGTATTACATTGTTTTTCCTCTAAATTTAACCAAATTTCTCGAAGGAATTATGAACACTACGCCTGAAGTAGCCGCACAAGCTGTGACACTTTTGCAGTCTGGACTTAGCGTAATGTAAGTACACAATTGCATTTCAGTCGTTCTGCTGTTGAAAGGTTATAACCATCGGTACTTAGAGACTGGCGGCTATGTTCGCCGTCAAGGAAGACCACGATTTCGAGTGACAACGGAAAGGCAATATCGATTTATCTTCAAGACGAGCTCACGAATTGTCGACTGACTTCAGTACAGATCCAAGAATAGCTTCGAGACTTTCATGGAGTGGCTGTTAGCGCTAGAACTGTGAGAAGGAGACTTAAGGAACGTGGTCTAACTCCACATAAGCCAGCGGACGGGCCCAAATTGACACGGGCTCATCGAATGGCGCGACTTCAATTTGCGCGATAACATTTGCATTGGACTCCACGTCGGTGGAGCCAGGTACCCTTCACTGATGAAACTAAGATTATGGTCTATGGTAACGATGGCAGGAACAAGGTTGGTAGGGTTGTAACCCTAACTAGCCGTGAACAGGTTCACGGCAATGAAATGGGAAACTTCCGGTCCACAAAATTTATTAAAGAAGTAAAGTTTAAAGAAAGGGCCCTAAATGGGTCGAGTAGCTGTACTACAGATTTAGGTACACGAAGGCTGTCGGCTTATAAATTATTACACATGATTTAGCTTATTAAATGATTACAAACGAATTAGCGATTATTCGCGATGGAATTTGGAACAGGTCCGACTATTGTGGCGGTCGAGCTGGGAGTGATCGTGGTACGAAAACAAAATGAGAAAGTGAAGGAAGATGGAACAATTCAAATTTAAATACATGTAAAATAAAAAAAATGATAGGATACAAGCGGAGTGAGGCGATACAAAGAGGTGAGATGACGGTGTAAGGAAATCACACCGTCACAAGGTCTACCGAAGATAAGGAGAGCGTTTTGTGCAGTGTTGCATTGAAGAGAAAGTGAACTGTGGCGGGGATTCATGGACAGTCTGGGGGGGAATGTCCACCGAAGACAAAACTGCGCTAGAGGTTGTGACGGGGCTGCGGCTGCCACCATTAAATGCCGACAGATACATTCGCCAGTGCCTCGAAATTCATGCAATGCCATATGCTGGCTTTGTAGGCCGAGATTTTATTCTCATGCATGACAACGCAAGAGCGCATACTGCAAGTCTTCACGGAATACCTTCATGACGTCGGTATTACTACCATGCAATGGCCAGCACGAAGCCCGGATATGAACCCAATAGAACATTTATGGGACGAACTAAAGAGGCGTGTTCGAGCTCACCACCCAGCCTCGCAAACCTTACCGGGGTTGAAAGTTGCCATTGAGGAAGAATGGGAGAACATTCCACAGCACTTCATATTGACGATAATTAATTCTATGCTAAATCGTATGGCGGCCGTTGTCAACGCTCTTGGAGGCAATACAAGTTACTGAATAGACAAGTTTTTCCGATAAGCCACTGTTATCTTTAAAATTTCTTTAGTAGTTTCATTTCACAAAGGTGAATTCAAGACTTGTGACCATTGACTTACAAATAAATGGACGACGGGTCTAATACAAAAACCACGAAAAAAATGTCCCAAGTCAACCTATTCGAAATTTAAATTGTAATGTCATCGCAGTATCGCGCTGTCAATCGAACAAATGAACACTAAAGCGGAGTTTGGCGCTCTGTGTAGGATTTTAGCGCCTTACAAGTGCGGACACTTTTTAGCGCGGACCCGACGTCCATATAATTGTAAGTCAATGCTTGTGACACTTAAACTCGTTTTTCCCTGGTTTCACAAAATAAAATTTTCAACAAGGACATACGGAAAAGACGTTTAGTAAACCAGCTTCAAATTGCATTAATAGTTTTTGATCAATCAAACATATTTTTTAAGCTTATGGCATTTAATACTAAAAATGCAAGGTGTGTATGTATGTCTGTGTCAGTATGAACATGTTTATTAATAATCTCTAGGCACACACTACAAAAACGTGCCGGCAGAATAATTGTACGTGCCTTATTCTTTCTATGATTTGGTGGTGAGCCGAAGGAAGGGTTCTTCTCATCCTCTCCAGATGGAGCTATTAAGCGTGGAGCGGTGAGATGGGCGGTTTCCTGCGTTTAAGAACCTTAAAACTTAGGCCCCCTATAAACTACCGGAAATAATTTCTTGGATCTCTGTCTGAACAAACAAAACAATAATGCACACAGAAATAAAACTCAAAATTCGAAACTATATTTATTATTAATCATAAGTTTATAACATGACTTATCGTTACAAAACATTTTAAACATTTAGAATAATCTACACGCCTTCGTTTCCCATCTGGGTGAGGACGGTCTGATAATAATTTACACTAGGCCCAGATTTAACACCTACATTAACAAAATTGTTTTATAATTTCTTGTCTTACGATGACAATAAAGTTCAGGTATAATGTAAAAGCAAACTCAACTTAAATTGTTCGAAATGCTATTTTGCTAACCAACAACAAATAAACCGCGAACCTTTAATAGGTACAGGAATTTAATTAAAGATTTCTTTAAATTGTCGGTCAGCCTATTTCAGGCGTTACATTTACTTTCTTGTGTAGAATGCGGCACTTAGCTTATTCTTATTTACACGTACTTCGATCTGTTTTATACCAAGAACTTCCATTAATAAAGACAACGATGATAGCTCCTTAATCGCAGGCATAATAACCAACCCTTATGTGCAATTCCTAGTTTATTAATGCATGCTAGTCCTTTGTTTGAAAGCTGTAACGAAATTGGCTATATAACCTACAAGTCCATACCGTATTGTAATCATAAGACAAAGGGTACTCAGTAGGTGTTCAACGAGCTTGTAACATAGAATTACTTGAAATTAGATGTTGGTTCGTAGTAGTTGTCTGGTTCAAAGCTGTTTAGTCGAGTGACTAGGTAAGTATGCTTAAATATTCACTTACACTATTTTTATACATTACTAAAGAGCCGATTGGACGCCATGAATAAGTGATCAATGACATATACATTTAAAATTGTTTACTTTTATTTTGTAATATTTTTTACATTTCTATTTCAATCTGTCAAAACTGTCGTTCAGTATATTTGGACAGTCTCTATAAAGTGGAGTGATATCTCAATAACCTCCAAATTACTTAAGACACGCAAAATAGGCGCCTCGACGTCGCGTTGCGGAAACTAGCCCGTTGCACCAACTACCAAGTGCTTAAGACGATGTCCCAAAAATGTTTCATTGATTAATCATCAACCCATTCATGGACAGTAACAATGATTTACATAGGACATTTTATATTGAACCAAGAAAAGTAGTGACATTTTTGTGTGTGGTACTTTTTACTGTCCATGAACGGGTATCCTGTTATCACTTAGTATCCATCTTATAGGAAATAGTATATGTCATTGGATACTTCTTCCACTGGGGTCATTAACATAATTGGGCTCGAAATACAAATCTTGTGCATTTAATCCAATACACGGCAAGAAGGGGTCACACATAATGTAATTATTAATAATTATAAACAGTGAATTAACATGCACATGAACTTCATACTAAACACTGAACACTAAGTGTTTACAAAAATTTACATAGAAATTTTAGTTCAAAAATAGGGCTCATAGTGTTTCAAGTGGCGAAGGTGAACTTATATGTCAGTACGCGGACAAGGCTCAATTTACATTGCGGCGTAACTGTTTTAAATCCATATGTAACATATACACCAGACTGACAGAGTGAACCCCGGGTGTAAAGATTATTTGAGACTATTAGTGCAAAAATGGTGTAATTCACATTTTTTTTTTCTACAATATTACTTTAAATGCCACTAAAGTTAATCATTATATTTTTTTATATAATAAATAATAATATAATGAAATTAATTATGTATTTTAGTATCAATAAAGAAATACTGTAGAAAAAAAGTGAATTACGGCCCTTTTGCGCTGATAGCCTCAATTGCACAAAAGTTTTTGGAATGTTAGCAAAATAAATAAATAAATAACATGTTAATAATTGATCGGCCTGCTAATCATAAAACATTATTTAGAGAATAGAACAATTTATTTCATATTATCAATGTCACAATTTGAAATATGTCAAGGGATAATATGATCGTCACTTGATATAACCGATGGTCAATATAAAACAAAATATAAGAAACGTGAGCGGACATTTAGCTAATTTCCATACGAAGAGTGCAGTTATTTAAATGAAGGCATTAAGCTCATCAAATATTTTATAAAATTTCAAAGTTTGTAACCAATTTAACTTTCATTGACAAAATTTTATTAGAAGTATTTGTAAACATAATGTATTATTTTTAATAATAACTGCCCCCGTACCATGGCTACGCATGATAGTCGCGACACGCGCGATAAAATCGAAATAAGCGCGCCCTATTGGCTCTCTCAATCAGATCTAATTTAGATAGCCAATAGCGCGTTTATTTCAATTTTATCGCGCGCGTCGCGACTATCATGCTTACCATGCTACGGGGGCAGAACAAGGTAGCAAAAGACTTGTACCTATCTTTTTAATGATAAACATCAAGTATTGTTGATTAAAAGAGAATATAGAGATCTAAAATAAAGTCCTTATATTATGACATTTTGTAACTAAATGTTTACACCTACTCGACCCAAATGCACGGAACAAATGCTTTTTTTTTAACGATTCAAGAGTGATCCCCATAATAAAGTTGTAGTATTGGTGTGTATACTACCCTTATAAGGGCTTAAATTGTAGGTATCCTTTGAAGGACATGTTCAGTATATTAACCAAACGTTTGCTATGGAGACTCCTCTGATGTCGCGAAAAAAAAACAAGTCTCACGCACTTAGTAAGAAATAGCTGTTATTTTGAAATAGGTCCTTTTTGAAAGAGTTGCTTCAAAAAGGACCTATTAAAGCTTCATGTACTAAACATGCATAAGCGGATATCAGTTAATAAATTACGATCTAATTATTTAAATCTCAACCTGGTTAAAGACACCAATCAAAAAGGACGTCGTTTGACGAGTTAAATTGACTGACAAATTACTTTTTGACCCTCAATGCTCCTGTTGTGTTATAGAAATTAGATATTTGAAATGCTGCAAAATGATTTATTGTCTTTAATTATATTCTTAATAATTTATCTCAACAACGGTCTGACCAACCATTATGAATTAACATTAAGCAGTGTCGACAGTTCGATGAAGGAAAACATCGTGTTGAAACCGGCACGTCCAAAAAGGTTCACAACACAACTCTCGTAAAACATGTAAAGTCCTTAACCGCATTGGGTCAGCTTGATGATGATGATGATGAAGATACTGTCGCAGAATATTATAATCAATCAATGTGCTCGAATAAAATTACAATTTTTAATTTAGTTACAGACTCGTTAGATTGATTTTAATTGATTATCCGAAAAAAAGCCACAAAAGATGTGATTTTTTGTTTATCCAAGAAAGAAAAGGTAAACTAAGACAATGATATTAAGTAAGTTACCACCTTGTGACGTTAATAACTTATTCTCTGCAAAAATTAATAATTATAATAATAGTTATTAAAATTACGAACAATATATTACACAGCCTCATGACATTTGGCCGTAACTAATTTTTACGTCAATATTCAATCACAACATGAAATCTGGCTGTTAAAATGTTCTGGGTCTTAAAATGTTGGCGCTACGATGGACTTTTACTTTGACGTTCGTGTTATAAGTTGAAATATAGTTCTTTTAAATTATGCAACTGCTAAGAGAATTTGTCACATTTTCTCCATTCATAGAAATAGTGTAGAAACTGAAATAATAATAGAAATAACATTTCTCTTTAGGTAACATATTCCTAACGAACTTCTTCGATTTTTTTGTACTCTCTTCATAAGTATAAGATGGAGGTTTTTTCCCAAAATAAAGATATAGATTTTGAATATTCTACGTTCAATCCTCCGTTTCGTCTGATCCTTGCCGTGAATTATGATATTATTATGCTACCATGGTGTTATCAAGCGTCATATAAGTCTAACAGCCAGGTTTCACTTTACGATTAATGTAATAGGATAATGTAAGACCACTAGTTTTAATTCAACCTCGTCAACTTAACGTACCGTCCATGATACATTTTAAGTAAGTATGTATGTCATTTAAGTAATTGCAGACATTTATAATTGAAATGTAAAAATAATAATTGAACGAAATTTTTCTGAGCATAGAACTTTTATACGAGTAGTTCATTCGCGTCTAGAATGCTGTAGGAAATTCAAACGGACCAATCATATGATTTTATTAAAACGTGAACTGTAACCAATCTTCAAGGCTTTAATTACAATGATTTGAAGTTACCTACTGCATACTTAACGCAAAAGTCTATAGTTTATATTAAATGTAGGCCCAGTAGATGAAAGTTCATTCACGAATGAATTGTATGAAAGTAGACTGGTTTCATAATTATTGTCCGTAACGAATATCAATTACTTTTGTTTGAAAAAACATAATGTTGCGGGTATCGTTAGACTACAAGTCATTTCGCAACCGTTTTTGACCTTATAAAAGACCTTCTAAGCGGTAAGGTGTACAATGTCGTACACCTTAGTGCGTAATTCGTGACTATGGCATTCCGCTTCTCTTGTCTTTATGTTACCTACACAGATGAGGTATAGTAATACTATGATTCGCAACTTAAAAACCTTTTTTTTTGGGGGGGAAACAGCTTACATTATGCTTCGTATAGTAACAAAAAGGTGCGTTCGTATTTTAGTTGGTCATCTTAGTCACGTAACTAACTTCAGCAAAAAAAAGAAAAGACAAATCCTATAAATATTTACAACATAGACATTTTGTATAGGTAACCAAAATTATGATTTGCGAATTTAAATCAGTTTTCCGCTAAGGCTGCTTAGTTATAACGAGTACAATCACCAGCTGATTTATGCAACCATCTTTTTGTTACAACCTGTATATCTGAAACCAGCTTAAAGATGTTAAGTTTGTAATATAGAGAACCAGTGATCAAACTTAAAAACTTACGTACAAAGAAATACCTCAAGATTTAAAAAAAAAATTAAACATGCTCTTGAGGTAGAATACACTTAAGGAAAACTGCCAACCACAAGTAGGATGTTAGGGAAAATATACGAAATCTGAATAGATTTTATAATCAGAAAAAGCTTACAAGTATCTCGATTGACGAATTGTGTACTTCCTGATGCGTACTCATTTGCTTGCTTTTTACTCTGGACTAAATTACCTGTAACAAACAGTAAAATATGTATTTTTATGTTGTATATATATATATCTTTCTTAACGTATATAAGTATTGTTTCCGTGGCCGAATAGTTACCATGCTGATTTGCCACGCAGAAGTCCCGGGTTTGTATGGCCTATATTTAGTTTGTGATATGTGTAATTTATGATAGTCTATGTGTGTGTCCATGGCACCCACGACACAGGGTTTCCTTATAATAAACGTAAACTGGGATGATTCCCGTGACACTTCATTTGACGTTTGTCATGAGGTAAAGTCGACAGATTTTTAAAGTATTTGATTTTTTAAGCACAAGTTCTCTCTTATAGTTTTATTATTCTGACGTATTCTGAACGATATATAATAGATGTGTAAAGTGTTTTGTATTATAAATACAAATTAGAATTATAGGGATAAAACACGCAACTATAATTCAAGAGCAATTTCAATAGATATTTTTTAAAATTTCAAAAAATATTTATAATATTATTAATTTACAGGTTTCAAAAAAGTAATAACACTGACATGTTAATTCGTTGCCAATTTTATTTATTTACATATTTATTTATTAAATTATCGAAAACTTTTTATCGATTATACCTCATCTCTAGCAAATGCGAGTAATGACGTAACAGCCTTCGTAAGAAAATTAATGATATAAAATCCGGAAAAATAGTTTCATTTCCTAAAATTAATGAATTAAAAAAAAATGTTCGTACGTTTTCATTATTTTGGTGTAAAACGACCAGCCAAAAGACATGCGACCTTGCGATTGCGTGCGCGACCCATTTTTATACTTTGTTTATTTGGGTAAGACTATTTTTATTAACGGTTTTTACACTATTGCTAATTTAAATTACTCTAAAGTATTTCTTTATGTAAGTGCATGAATAGGTTTAATAGGTGCCAATGATTTCAAAATTAACCTGTATATCATTATCATTACAAGAATAAGAAATGTAATAAATCGTATTAAAATAATAAAAATGTGATGTTTACAAATAAATGAAATGAAATTGACTTTTATTATGATAATCACGCGATATCAAAATTGCGACAGATTTGTAGTGAATCGGCCATCAGTCGCTGCGAATTGTGTGTTCCGGATAAAAGTCGAGTCAATGATCGCTATTGCCCTGCTATTTTGGCACAAACTATACAAATACTACACGTTCTTTACTATGGTATGGTGCATGGCTAATGTGATCATTATTTTATACCCTCAGAGCGGTACGGCTGCAAATTTATTATTCTTTTAAAAATAAAATGCATGTTTGTGGCAGTTATAAAATAAAAGTTTATTAATTAAAAAAATATTTTAAAAGAACTGAATATTATGAATGACCAAAAATAAAAAAAAGAACTAATTTTGTGTGGTATGACAGGCTAGTTTTATATATTTTTAGGGATAAGCAAATTTTCTTTAATACGTGAAGTTTAGATTTTAAATGTATTCCACGGCAGCCGCCGCCAACCGCACACAAAAAGAATGCACGTGCGGTACGGACGCACAACTAAAAGAACAGGGCGACAAGGCTTACATGATGCTTCGCTTTCGTGACATAATATTTTCACGTGTGTCCTGTTTGCGGAACACGAAGCTTAAAAGCGGGACTGTCCCGCTCATAGCGATCAAAGTGCCCATACGGTTACGTTATGTATGGCGCTCTTTTGCGTTTTTTATTAATAACGGTAAAGAATTATCAGACCGAGTTCTTTTGATCCAAATTGAACTGTTAACCCCCGCTTCGATGATCGGTCTTCTGTAACTACTCTGTAATTGTTTCATCAATATGAAATTATGTGATTGGTCGGTTCAAATTTCTAACGGTAATCCACGTAATATTAAGGGCACGGAATTGGTCAGTTTCAATTTTGCACTGTACTTTTATCGCCAATGAAGTACCGCTCCTGTTAGGCCCTAAGAGAGTTACTCACTCGCCTAGTACCGGTTGGTGGTAGCGTTGGCAATCTGCGCGTTGACAGCGGCAGCGGCGGCGGAAGAGGCAGCCGTCTGCACGTGCTGGTTGCGCAGAATCTCCGTCGTGAACTCCGCCTGCGCCTTGGCCATGGACGCGCCTGTAGATCGGTAGATGCGATGCACCTGTGACAGAGGATTATCATGATCAACCAACGTGCGATCCAATGCTGGGTGCGGGACTATCTCAGGAGAGGGTTTTGGGCCATAGTTCACCAAAAACCAATCCGGGTTGGGACTGCAAATATCTTCAAAGAGACAATCGGACACTAATAAAAAAAATTAAAATGTAAATGTAGGCTAAAAAGTCGTTGAATACCAAATACAAAGATCCAACGACAAGCACATAGAAAAATTCGTGAGGTCCGCTGGTTTGTTCCGTGCCTTAGTTGGCATAGTGTCTGGCACGGTTTGCTAGAAGACGTCGGTTCGAATCCGGCCGCATTGAAGGAATTTTTTCGAAGTGTTCGATCTTTATATTAATTCACAAAAAATAATTGAATATTATCAATTCAATCAAAAATGTTAACTAAAAAAGTTTGTACATAATAAAAACTATTCTTCAATAAATATTTTTGTGAAATAATAATGATTTGTATTTTAAATAAATATACAAAATCTGAAAATTGTAACATATTTATTCCATTATGCAAACACCAAATACACCACGTGACATCATACATTGTATAATATTTTTAATTACAATTAAACTTAGTATTAGGAACTCGAAAACCTTAATTTTAATAAAATAATTGTTGTTGGCTGTATAATAACCATATGATTAATTTTACATACTTTTAGAAAGCAGTCCGATTCCCTATTACAGGTGTTACGAATGTAATAAACAATCACATTACCAGGTCTGAAACCAGTAAACAGAACTTCAGAAGCACTAACCAGAATAATTCGTTCAACAGGTAATCAACCAGACCTTTTTACATGGTGTCTAACAGAATGGAATGTTGCGGACAAATTTTTGCTTTTATTAATCTATATTTTTTTTTTGTAAAATTACTCCACTAGTTTCTTATAATTATTAATACAACGATCGAACACAAAGAAAAATTCATTCACCTTCACCCACACCGCAGCTGACTACTAAGCTACAGAACGAACCAGCAGAACTTACGAATTGTTCTGTTTGTTCAGATCGTTGTTTTTGTTTTTTAACGACTTTTTTGCCATAACGATATTGCTAAGCAATATTAAAAAAGAGTTCACTGTAGATAAACCTTCTTTATTCTGCGTAATAGGGTAGAAATAAAAAGTACCTTAGTAATAAGTAGTACTTCAGCGACGGCGGCAACGATGAAGCCGATTGCGATAAATAACGTGATTATGCCCGCAGCAATGTTCACGTTAAACGTCTTGATGCTCGTTATCAGTCCGCTGGAATGTTAAATAATTTCATAATATCCATAAGACTTACCAATGCGTACAATGCATGAAAGCAAAAGATATTGTACTCTCCTTCTTTCAATATTTCATTATATTAGAGTCCATTTCACATAGGATGGGTACTGTGACATTTCAAATGTTTGCATTGCATGCATACTATTTTCAACTAATCTCTCAGCCAGCTTACAAAAAGAAACTAGTAAATTTGTTATAATATACCAAAAACAAACAATATTTGTTGGAGTTTTAACCATTGACCTGGTTGGAGTTGTAATTTTAAGCAAAAATTACAGTATATTTAACCCATTAACGCCAAAAAAAAAAATTAGCGTTAAAAAAGTAAAATTTTTTTATGAATCTTTAGAAAATAGCCTATTTATGAGAAAATTATGAAGAAAAAAAAGATTTTATTATATTTTATATGAAAAAGAAATGCCGTCCTCAAATGGGGACAATGGGCTCAAGCAGTGTCAAAAAATTTGTAACAATATTTGTCGGTGCACAAAGACTTGATGCACTTTTTATATTGCCAACGCGCTTATTTGTGGCTCAACAGCTATTTGCACATCGTAACTGTTGAGCCAACTTCTGAGCGTAGTGATCAACACCAATGTACTGTAGATTTAGCACCAAAGAAGCTGCTGGATGTAAACTTTGAGTATTTGTGTCTCGAATAGTGACGTGATGTAACCGTTAAACTGCTGTAGCTGTTCTAGCTTCGTATCATTGGTCAGGAGGTGTAAACGCCGTGTATTAGGTAGTGCTAGGTCCAGCTTGTAGCGGAACAAAACAAACCACCAGTTTTTGCTTCGAATGACAGTGCGATACAAAAAGATTGGTCAGCTTGATTTATCCTGCTGGTACGTTTGAAATCACGCGGGATACCCACGTCAACTTTCTGTTTATTCACAGCGCTTCATCTTTTTATTTTCACCGGGGAAAGGACATTATTATAATCAGAAGTCATCGTGCAAATACTATTGTCAAGCCACAGAACGAACAGAATTTGGTTGATTGGGTAAAATCGATAGTCAAAATTGTCACGCTTGGTTTTCATACAAATTGCTGTACTTGCGGCCTCTATCTAGATATAATGTCTGTGGTACCCATGCTAAGTGAAATGAGCTCATGTATGAGAAATGCAATCATGTATGAGAAATGTAAAAGAAGAAGAAAAAAAAACGATTGTTTTTCTAATTTTGCAATTAAGCATTCGAAATATTCAATGATTAAATCATTAAATGTTTATATCTGATCGTGTTTTACACCTAGTAATCACTAAATATTTTTTCAATGGTATCAATCAAACACGTACAACAAATCCACCTATTTCTGTAATGACTACACAAGTTACATTTGTACCCTGAATCGAATTTTGACATCTAGTTTCATGTTATTAAGGTAAGAAAATTGCCACTATTTTATAGAGAACAAAATTTTCAAATGCACTTACCAGAATCCTCCACCGGGGATACCTATCGCCTGAACGATTGTGATAATGATTTGGAAAAGGAATATAAAGAAGAACACCATAAAGTTGAAACTGGAGTCACTCCGGAACGCCTTATAGATCGGTCGGTACCAACAGACGAAACTGAACGGAGTTAACAGGAGGAAGTAGAGAATGGACAGACCAAACGTACTGTAATGATTGTCTACGATCAAGAGGGTCAATCCACCAATCATGTTAACCGCCAAGAGGAGAGCGTGGACTGTAACAAAATATCTTAATACAGTGCTGTATAACCTTTATATTTCCTATTTCTGTAAATAGGTTTTATTAAATAAATATGACAATTCAATGAAAATAGCTATTAAATAAAACAATGAGAAGCTACCGAGTTTTTAAAATTTAATTTCAAATTCTAATTAAATTTCAACTCAGATATGTTCACCAAGGTAACTTATCACAAACACAAATTTCTTTTTCCCGATTCTCATTATTCCGAACACGATTCGATTTTTTTTAAATTTGTGTGTGAATGTTTTGGTGCAAATTAATTTGTAACAGAAATATCTATCTTACAACAGAAGTACAGTTTGTCCAAAAAACTATTATTAGAATAATCGTTACATATGTATATCGCTGTTTTTTTAATCGACTTCAAAAAAGGAGAGACTTTTTTATGTATATGTTACGCGATTACCTTGTGAACAAGTTTCGATGATTCTTTTTTTGTTGGAAAAAGGGTATTGGTCCCATTTAAATTTGAAGAAAATATTTCACTTCTGAGGGTGGCAAACTAAGAGATGAACCCGGTTTCGTACACTTTCCAGTAACCGATTTCAATAAAACTGATGTAATTCCATGAACATTTGAGGTCGGTTTTTTTAAATAAAAAAGTTACAATTATCAAGAATAGTAGTCCATCCAAATTGGATGCTTTTTTAACTTTTTACTAAGATTTAATGAGGAAATTTTATTTTAAATGGGATTTGGTATGAATAATCACATGACGACATTAGGGTGGTTTAAGATTCGTCAACTTCGCGCGACTGACACGTTTCGGCAAAATTTTGTTTGGTCAATTCGTGTTTATCCGATTGTCTATTTTCCTAATAGTTTAGATAGCGGGAAATTCGTTTGGACAATATTATTATTCTTAGATAAAATTGTACCTATCTCAAACAAACGAACACAATAATTTTGAGCATTAACTCTTCATGACTCCTAGTTACTTAATTTATACATTTTGAATAAAACATTTCCTTATTTTTTAACCACATTTTAATTTTAGGTTACATATTATGCTAGCGGATAATACATGGCAAATAAATCCTAAAGTACAATCCCAGGGCAGCGTCAAATCTGGTCCCCTTTAGTGGGTTAGGTTAAAAAAATAGGTTAGGATATGAAAAACCAGACGTGGCTTGTTTGCCTTTACGAACATGTTGTAAATGATTATAGGATTTTTTAAATAACAACTTTAACTTCAATTATAATTAAGTAAAACTCATGTAAAGTATGTATTATAATTGTATTAAAAATCCACCTTTTACTAAGAATTAAGTGCATTTTCATTTAATTACATTAACCAAAACACTAAGATAATTGTCTTATTGTGTCAATCGAATTAAATACGAGGTAAAATAAAACAAAAAATTCAATTCGGTACATTAAATGTTGAATAAATGAGAATCGAGAAACAAATAATTTGTCAATAGGTCAAAATAGTGAAATATTATGTGGTGTAATGAAAAAAATCGTTACGTATTTTCGGACAAATGAAACAAAATCTGTTCAAAAGCTGAAAGGTTTTCGAAAAAACAAAATTTTGTAAAACATGTTTCTACTTTGTAACATTTAACCGTTCATCAAAGTAGAATTGTAAAAACATTTTTGTGATGTTTTAATCTTAACTCGAATTATATTAAATGTGTGTATAAGGTAACTTCGTTGAATTGAATTAGAACTACTGCCTACTTAATGCTCAGGCCACACAGAGGCGGCCGCGGAAGCGTTCGGGACGTGGGAATTTTTGTAATGTACGAGGTCATATGAGCATAAGAGAGATTTACTTACACATCCACAAATGATAAAGGTAGCGAACGATCCTCTGGAATTCCAAAGGGATGTCGACGTTAATGTCCTGGTAGAAGCAGGGCTGGATGGGGCAGATGGCGGGTAGCGGTGGCCAGTTGTTGCGACGACCGGCGGAGCCCGCGCGGAGCTCGGCTTCGCGTCGCGCTAGTTCCTCCGCTTTACGTTCTAACTCCTCTTGTCGCCTCTGAATTTTCAATTCCAAGTTGTTTATTTACTCGCAAAGCTATGACAGGTTATTGTAGCTTGACTGTCTGACTCTAGACATAGTCAGCAGAGTGCAAGACTAATCAGGATCCCCGCAGAACACGGAAAGGTAATTGGTATCGACCAAGGTTACCCCTAACACAGTATAGCCGTGGTATCCACAGACTTAATCTGCGCTGTAAATAATTTTAATTGCGCTTTTATTTTTTTTTTAATCTGGGGTTCGCGTCAATTGTGCTCCTCTGTGGTGGGTCTCTACAAGGTTTTAAACGGTGGTACTAACCACCACACAACATAACCACTCCATAGGTTCTAAAAGGGCCGTGGTCATAGCAGTGAAGCTATAGTAATACATAAAAAGAATAGAAAAAGTGACACAAAGAGAGTACATACATAGATTTATTCGATAACAGTAGGTTTTTAACTATAATGTATTATGATACGAAAGTTCAATACTAAGATATTGACAATTTTACAAAATATAACATTAATTAAACTTTGGAAACAAAGTTCTACATTTGGCAATATACAGAGGGTCCAATTTTAACTTGGTAGCATTTAAAAACCCGTATGATACATGATCATTATTTCTTGAAATGAATTAGTATGACGTGAATGCTCAAAAACAAAAGTAACTACAATACATTTGATAAAATAAATCTATCAAGACTTATTTAAATGATATCTATATTTCTAGATTATACATACATAAGTAAAGATAAACTGTTATCAACGAAATGGCTTCTCAAATAAACATGTATTACCTTTAGCTCCTTTTGTGCAATCAGGAAAAAGCAAAAGAGTGTGTTAGTGACATGCATTTTAACAAGCACTTCAATGTTATAATAATAATAGATCTAATAATAGATGTCTTAACTGAAAATATTTTATGAAAAATAATAATAAATGAAATTAAATATAACAAAAGAATGGATTAAAAAATTCGTATTTATGCAACTATTATAATATATATAGTATTTTTTTAACATTTTTTGTTTTATTTTTTAACTCTTAAGAACTCCCTGACTGGTTACTGACCAGAACAGTTGCACTGCTTTACCAGTGTATTTAATATGGAAACCCAGATGCAAGTGTACCATCATATACTACAAAGTGCAAATAGTAAATGAGACTATTATTTGTACAACTGCACTAAGTAGGTGAACTGTTATAGAGATATACTCTAGGGATGAGATAGGTTTTTAGGAACACATAATAAACTCAATTGAAAGCATGTTTCTATCAAAAAAACAGGTATTTAGCGCTTGTGTGAACTGGGCTTCTTATAAGTTCTTTTCTAGTATTGTAGGTATGCTGCATTAGATATTTTTTTTTCTAAATTTGTCAAAAATTACTACACTATATCATTATTTCAGTAAAAAAAAAAACACTATATAAAACTGTAGAATGTGCTTTGTATCAATATATCAGAATGTTTTCCTTGTGAAGCATATGTAGCATACGTAAAAGGATCAAGGTTTAGTGACACCCTTTATTAACGACTGTCACGCACACTAAGAGGAATGTCAACACGCAGCGGTATGAACGCTCACACTACACATAGAAATGCATTTGTATGTCGAATGAGCGGTACATGGAAAAACTTAGTTAAGTTTATGTTATACTGGAATGTTTGGGGTGTGTTAGTTGTTCCACCTCCACGCGTGCGAAGTTCTTGAGCATTCTGTGATAACATGTTGTCATAGAATGCCCAAGGATGTAGCCGGTACATGCTGGGGCCAACACTGACAACTCTCGGCTTCAGTCTGAGTCTTACCAGTGAGAGCGCGAAACGATCAACACGGCCCAGCCATGCGTCTCTGGGGGTGGACCATGGCAAGTGGTGGGCGCTCCTAATTTACACCCTCCTGCGTTCATGCCTACGCAGTTGAGCTCCGTACGCAGGGATCAAGGAATCCTGGGGGCTGAGCCCGAGCGGGGTGGGGCCCCGGCAAGCAATACGTCAACTTCGGCCCTAATTTCCTGCTAAACGGTAGCCCTGTGACTAGTCAACACTGGGAAACGGCAATGTGTCCCGTCAGAGGGCCACCGGCGAGGTGTGGGGGGGATGGACTCGGCCATGCTGACGGGCTGAGTATGTGCGAAGTACCTGGCGGACTTTGATCAAGTCAGCCAGCCGCACATTTTGAGCCCCCGATGTCGCGCAATGAGCTCCTAACTTCTGCACCTATACTCTCCTGATAATCCTGGTGTCCCTACTGGGACTCCCCAAAGGTGCGGGCTCCGTGGTGGGTCGGAAATCAGGAGAGTAAACACTGAACTCTCTAACTAAAAGTAAAATCTATAAATCACCCAAAACCGGTGGTACTGGAGGGGAAACCCAAAAGTGCCCCAACAGTACATATACACATACAACAGCGCCCTACGGTGAGTGGTAGGCCAAAGGGGAAACCCCAAGGTCAACCAAGCACCGATGCTAGTGCTAGTTCAGTATTAGCGGTAGTGGCCCAAACCTTTGGTTCTGAGGCTCCAGCGAACACACCGGGTTCTGCATCGCAGAATCCCACGAACACAGCTCTTGAAGCAGGGTAGACCCTGGTGAGTCGCAAACCCAGACTCAAAGCCGCAGCACCCAACCGCAAGGAAGGGGTAAGCGGCCACGGTGAGCCACCACCTCCAGCCCCCAGTGGGAGCAAGAGACGCTCGCAAGAACAAGAGGGGTTGTCTCAGGCAAAGCGCCGTGAAAACCCCAACAACGGACGGACGGAGGGAGAGGCGAGGCCCCCAGTTGATGACGAGAGTGGCCCGAGGACTGCACCAGTGCGGTCTACTGGGTCCGCCGCACATCCCTCTGGAAGGGCCCCCCCCCCCTCCCTCCTGGAAACAAACCGGTAAACGCGCCGAGGCCCTCTACCAATGCCAAACGCGCTCGACTCGACGAGAGCATGTCTCCGAGAGGCGAGCATAAACGGCAAAGGGTTGGAGGCTCGCCCAACAACGCACGTACGCCGAGGCCACCACGCCAGAACTGATGGCGGTGATCACCTCGGCAAAAACATACGGATCCCCGATACCAACAAGGTTCAGGAGGCCTCGCCCAGGGAGCGGAGGAGTGCGGCGAGGAGGACGTCGGCCCACAATTCAGGGGTAAACCTGTCTTTAGCGACGGGTCCGTGAAATTGTGGTGCCACGACACAGCCACATTCCAGTGGCTAGAAGTCGTCATATCCGGGGAGCCCCTCCAATTGAAAAATGGGGTGGAGGCTCCCCGGCTGGCGGTCTGCGGACTGCTGATTCCTGGTCACTGGGAGGATGCACGCCGAATCGACCGCATGCTCAAGCTGCAAAACCCATGAGCGGAGGTTCACCGCTGGTTTGTCCACAAGCTGCAACAGCAAAGTGGACATACCTTCGTGGTGGTGAGCATCCCCGAAGAACCGGTCCCGGCTGTCCTGGGGCATGACCGGCGCTCACTTTTCAGTTAGGCACGGTCTACCTCAGGTTCAGATCCAAAAGGGGCCTGTACACGGACACGCCGCCTGAGAAGGCGGGTATCAATAACACACCGATGGATGTCTCCCCAGAGCCCTCTACCTACTCTGGCATCCCCGGAGAAGGGAAGGAGCCCTCCCTAGGAGGCTACTGCGGGAACATCACGTCTTGTGCACAAGCGAACAGAATAAGTAAATCCTAGGCGTTTCAAATTCAACTGAGCTAGGTTCAATACGCAAAATAGACAACACATACACAACTTCCTCTGCGGGCACGGAGAGAACCCTACTGGAAGCACATTTCCCCGGATGTAGATGTAGATGGATCGTCCAAGACGAAAGGTGCAAAGAAATGAACTACAACACATCGATCCATAGCTGGCGATACGCTGAACAAGTAGTAACATACGAAAAGGCAAAATGGGCAGTAAACACCTTTGAACCGTACAAAGCTCCGGGCCAAGATGGAGTATTCCTCGCACTCCTACAATGGGGCGGGGACACACTGGTCCAGCACCAGGTCAACATCTTTCGGGCCTGTCTAGCATTCAGCTATATGCCCTACAGCTGGCGAGAAGTAAAAGTCATATTTATACCGAAACCAGGTAAAAACGACTACACTGACGCGAAGTCCTTCAGACCAATCAGCCTCACATCGTTCTTTTTGCGCTTAAGAACAAACCACTACCCGGAAACCAACATGCATACAGTCAAGGCAAATCCACTGAATCGGCCCTACATACCGTTGTGGGCAAGATAGAAGTGGCCCTCAAAGACAAAGCAATCTGCCTAGGCACCTTTATCGATATTGAAGGAGCCTTCGATAAAACCAACTTCTCCAGCATACAATCAGCACTGAAAAGACACGAAGTGGATGAAGTGCTCATCAGCTGGATTAGCAACATGCTAAAACTAAGAACAATAAAAACAACAGCAAATGAGACCCCATGGGCTATAGTAGCGAAGGGGTACCCCTCAAGGAGGGGTACTGTCGCCTCTGCTGTGGAACATTGTCGTAAATGACCTCATCATTAAACTGAACAAAGAACATTTCTATACAACAGGACATGCTGATGACAGCTATACTGGTAATAGGAAATTATGCCAATATACTCTGCGACATTACAAAAGCTGCACTCCGGATTGTGGAAAGATGGTGCAGGGCATACGAACTATCGGTAAACCCAACAAAGACGGAACTAGTAATGTTTACAAACAAAAGACTACCGGTTAACTACCTACTACCCAAACTCTTCAGTACAGAACTACAGATATCAACCGAAGTCAAGTACTTGGGAGTAATACTGGACAACAAGTTGAATTGGAACAAGCATCTGGACAACAAAATTAAAAAACCTACTATCACCTACCATAGAATGGTAGGTAAACATTGGGGACTTTCACCCAAGATAACACTATGGCTCTACACAGCGGTGATAATAACCAAGATCAGTTACGGAGCGATAGTAAGGTGGCCACGAACCAAACTGACGATCGCAACCGACAAGCTGGATAAATTCCAAAGACTCGCTTGCATGGCGACGACCGGTTGCATGAGGACAACTCCAACTGCGGCCCTCAAAGCGATGCTGGACCTGCGACCCCTCCCACTGTTCATCAGACAGGAAGCGGCGTCAACAGCAGTGCGTCTAAACAGAACCGGCCTTTGGAAGCACATGAGGACCCCACATACAGAAATCCTTTATAAGGCTGGAGGCGGCTGTGGATAGAATGCCAAAACAATACATTTTTGACAAAAAATACAAGATACAATTGTTTGAAGATCCCAATGAAGGACTGAACCCCAGAGTGGTCCGCGTCTTCACTGACGGATCTAAAATAAATTCAGGAACAGGTACTGGGGTATTCTCAGAAGACCTCAATATCAGGAAATCAACACCGCTTGGTGACCACAACACAGTATTCCAGGCTGAATGCTTGGGCATCAAGTTGGCGGCAGAAGCAATCATAGCGAAAAGAGTAAAGAATCACTCCATTCGAATACTCTCCAACAGTATGTCAGTACTTCAAGCACTGAACAGCTATGACATAAACTCAGGGCTCATTTATGAATGCCATCAAGCACTCATGGAAGTATGTATACAAAACCACGTAACTCTACAGTGGATTTAAAGGACACAGCGGCACACGTGGCAGTGACGCAGCAGATGAACTAGCTAGAAAAGGGTCGGAGACGGACGCTGTAGGATCAGAATCCATAGTGTCCCTCCCCTACCAATGGTCCAGAATAACTATACACAAAGGTACAAAATCTTCACATAATAATACATGGACCACCCTTACGGTTTGTAGACAGGCGAGGGAAGCCCTCCCAACGCTCAATGCCAGTCTATCACGAATATTGATGAAACTCAAAAGGCAAGAGCTTCGCACTCTAACTGCCGCCCTAACATGGTCATGGTCCATACAATAAACACTTTTTCAATTTAGGTATCACAGACAGCCCTCTATGCAGAGCGTGTATGGAGGGGGAGGAAACGGCTGCGCACATCCTACTACAGTGCTTCGGCGTGGGCAACCACAGGGCCAAGAACCTTGGAGCGCCAAGGTCGCTCCCCGAAATCTTCAGCAAATCAACGAGGCTGCTGAGATTCCTGGAGGAGCTTGGGTGGCACGAGTAGGACCCTGCACCAACAACACGCAAAAAATAAAAAAATAGGCGCCTTGATGTCGAGTTGCGGACACCAGCCCGTTACACCAAGTACCAAGTATACTGGAATGTGTTGTTTATCAGTGCTTTAAATGTAATAAATAAATAAAAAAAAGAAGGTTGGGTCATTGACTGACAATATCTTTATTTTACTCTTGCCTTAAAAAAATCTTACCTGAAAATCTGCAGTGGTGAAGTTCTGTGGAGGAGCCTGTGATTGTTGGGGTTGTGAAGGTAGTTGTCCAGCAGCTGGTGGTGACACTGCTTGCATGATTGCAGGCTGAGAGGGTTGCTGTGGGGCCTGAGACATATCCACAAGTTAATGAGAGAGTTTGATAAACTTCAAAGTATCTACATTCTCTCACATCTGGGGGTCTACTCTCGATCTCCGTCCGACATCCGTCCGAAACAATTACTGTGAAATAAGTAATATTCGACAAAATTAAAAGACAAGTATCAAGTATGAAACTTCATTCGTATCACGGGTCTTTTCATTTGATCAAGTATTGTTTATTTGGCAATAATTGTTTCGGACGGATGTCAGACGGATATCGAGAGTAGACCCCCAGAATCGACAGAAAGCATTTATGAATCCAGAAATGGTGGCACTATATAGTTTATATATTTGACATCAATCTTTTTATAATAAGTAAATGTAAGAAATTAAATTTAGAATTCTACAGTTTCACATTTGAACTTTACAGAATAGAATGTTACCTTCAGTTTTGATATCAATTGTAATTATTCATCCAAATTCAAAGTAACACAATAATTTAATTGGCTGTGAATGTGAGCAGTGAAAAGTTGATAAAAGCTAACAATTTTCTCCTTTCTATACATATCTGGCTACTAGTCTGTAGTACAATGCTAGTTTAAAGATATGCCTTCAGTTTCAACCTTTATAACAATTACTCTTTAAAAAACATGTTAAACACCACCACACATTTAATATTCGTAGAGAGTTTAGTTGACCTACTTTAAGAGGAAAAGTAAGTGTTTGTAATAAACGTTTAACATAAAATTTTGAATATTTCAAGTTTTATTTTTAAAAAGTTATTGATATGTCATTTTAGTCATTCAAGAACATACTTTCAGTATCAGTGTAAAGGTTTTTATATCTCTTATATTTTCGGTATAATCAGGTGATTATTCCGAAAACACACACACTGGGCACACTTAACGATTATACCTTGTATGTTTCAAATTCAAATTAAATCTTTCAATTCTTTATTTCATAGGTAAGTATTATTACACTTGAAATCATCACAATGGTTAAACTCTACAGCTCATTCGTAAGGCAGATTCCCCTGAGAAAAATGAGCAAGAAACTCTAGGGGTTGCTCTTTGTAAATAACATTTACAATTTATTTAAAACATCAGTGATCGAGACTACCTCAACGAGCTAAACAGATTTTTGTCATCCAAGTACGCAGAAGTTGTATAATAACCTTTAGTATAACGTTTTTGTTTCACTATAGTTTTAAGCCATGGAGAAAGGCAAATTTTGTATATCAACCGGAATCTTGTTATAGAAGCGTATACATTGCCCCTTAAATGATTTTTTGACTTTGTGAAGACGACTATCAAGAAAAGCTAGTTTATTTTTATTCCTCGTATTAATGTTATGTCTGTCACTATTTTTCATAAAGAAATTACTATTCTTTTTAACATAAATTACATAGCATAGCATTGTTCACATCATCATAGGAACATTGGTGCCTTTTAACTTTAAATAATAAAGAAGTATCATCAGCAAACAATACTATCTCATGTTTTATACCCTCCATAAGGCTAGATAAGTCATTAATATAAACTAAAAACAAAAATGGGCCTAGAATTGAACCTTGAGGGACACCCATGCTAATTGCAGACCCTGATGATCTCGTACCGTTAACATCGACCCTCTGTACCCTACCACGCAAAAACATTTGATGAATATTATTATTATCTGAAGTATATGTATGTAGAAAAAGAAGTACATAAGCAGTGAATCACCAAAGATACATAATCTAAATCATTAATAGATGTATCATTAATTTTGTTATCTATTTACAATCATTTCGTTGATGAAATATATACAACATCAGAATAGCATGTTTTTTGTCAATGTGTGGAAAAGTTTACCACAAATTATGGTATTTACCTATAGGTAAATACCATAAATATATATATATATGTGATATATATATATATATATATATATATATATATAAGATATATATATCTGCGTGAAATGGCAAACATGAGGTCTGAATCCCTTCATATTGCAGTAACATTCCATTGATTCTCTGCATATTTACAAGATAAAAACAGAGCATTTGCAGTCTCTTTTTAAAACAAAGAGCAAATAATTAATTAAATATACTCTGTAAGCCACATTAATCGATCATTAGCAATGATACGAACTGCAGCACAACTTATATATCTCCAGATACCGCTATTTGTATGAACTAAAACAGAAACGTTTTCAAAATGACTAATACAATATTTACCGTTTGATTAACATTTTGCTGCCCGTCGAACGGATTGTAGTCATCTAAGCGACTCGTTGCACTGTTTGTACTCTTGGCCACTTGCTGAACTGAAGGATCCTAGAATGTTCATGATAAATAATGCAACAAATACGAGAAAAACAAATTTCCCATCACCAAAGGGGCTACTTACAGCAAAAGGGTTGTCTATGGTTGGGTCACTAAATGGATTATCATCATCGAAATTCGACATTGTTCCTGGATTATTACGCCACATTACAGTTTGATAACTTTTCACAAAACCAAGAAAATGTATTTAAACACTTAAATTATATTTTTAGAACAAAAAGATGCAATAAACCTATATAATGACAGTTTGCTGATGATGACGACAAATGACAGCTGTTATCTGTGCTGCCATATGAATTTAAATTTAAATTTCCCATGGTGGGATTGAGATTTTATATAAGAACAAAATTGATATTTCTAAAAAGTTTGCAAATAAATCTCGGTATTAATGAAAACGATTAAAAATGAAAAAAAAGTTTTCGACATACAGAGAAGGTACGCATGCTTAGTATTATTAGCAAATTCAAAATCTTATGGATTAAGGATTTTGTAATGATTAATGGTTATATAATATTAATAATAATAAGGTTCTTGCAGATAAAAGGGGACGAAGTAAGCTTTTGCTATGCACCACCACCACCACCACCACCACCGTCCATATAGACATGCTGCATTTGCTTGATTTCGGTCCGCAAGTGTGGTTCAAATCAGCTACAAAAAAAAGCTGAGAAAAATAAAGAATAATAATAACAATAATAAATAAAAGTTTAAAATAAATACGAAAACAATAATAATAATAGTAATAAATAAATTACGTCAATAAGTGTTGATATGAACGATTCTATAAGTATTTCATCTGTTCAGTTTGATTTTGTTATTTATTTGTTCACTATACGCCATTCATGATTTTCTTTTGCCTTTTATTCATCACTACAATAAAATACATGTGACCAAAAATGCTTAGCCAGAGTTATTGTATAATACACTCATTTTATTCACTATTGGGATCATGCGTATCCGAATCCGAACGCTGTTTGAAATGATAATAATAATTTCGTAATGTTGGTAGTTACCAAAAGCGAAAGTTGTTTTGCAGTTGGCAATTGCAAGTGTCAGTTTCGATGGTTCTGTCAAAGTAGGCAGCTGTTTACGTTTTGTATCGTTATTTTGCGATCGTTTTGCACAACTTTTGTTATTTCTTATTGTTTTTATGCCAGCGCTTTTACCCCGACGTTTTTATGGTGAAATATAGTTGTGATAATTCGATATATTTGTACCATGTCAGATGTCAAGAGGTGAATAAGTCTGTGTTTTGTGTTCTAACCTGTGAGTGACAGTTTTTTATATTGTTTGGGATTTGGAGCGATAAACATATCGGTGAGTGTTTCCTCTTTTCATCATGTGCATGCGTTGACGTAAACAGAGCGTTGGTTTTCAATTGAATAGGCTTTGAATGGTTTTTGTGGACGGTGGAGCTCAGTGTCTGGTGTTTCGCAATTTGCGTAATGATAAAGTAACGTGTTTGTAGTGGCAGTGGTTGGATGGGTTGCTAGGTGCATGCGCATTGCCGACGAAGGCCGCAGGTTTTGATCGGTGGCTGCACGACCGCTGCGAAAGTTGTTTGCTCTTGATATCGAGGAAGTAACGCCTAATTACTTGTACTGGTCCTACCACAGTGTACATAACATCCAGTTTCCTTCTTATTCTTCCATTAATTTATAAATTTATATCCTCTAGCATCATAATGCCACCAGTCTGACTCACAGTAGTTACAATGATACTGTTTTATAATAAATCAAATTCAATATTTATTTTAAAAAATTTGCTGCATCTTGGAGTTCATAATGTATCCTATGTTTGCCCAGTAGAAAGAGTATTGTGCTTTATTTTTATTTGGTTTAAATTAAATTTTATATCAGTAATAATTGAAGCTAAAATGTAAATACCCAGTTTGCCGTTGAAGGTCAATGTACTTTGTTATTTTAACATTGGACAATGGCATGTCAATGGTTATCAGAAATTAAATACAATAAATTTATTGTTTGAGTGCGTTCAAATGCTATATATCTGATAAAAAGCTGCAAAACACAAAATTCGAGTCATTGGTGTAAATGATTTCTTATTATGGTATCATCAAGTTCTATCTGTATTACTAGTAATCATCTCAACATAATGTAAACTTCCCATTGAAACAATGTTCAATACCACAGCCCTATTCAAAGTGTTCACACGCTAATCTAAACAACTGCGACAAAAACAAAACAATGCCCTACCATCCAATACTGGCACACTAAACAATTGATTGTGACCTTAACTATGTTTTGCAATAACCTTTCAGCACATGTCAACATAAACTGGCCAAATGCATTTTGATTGACTTATTTTTTCGTAATGTACATTACATTCTAGGATTGGTACTTGGTGCAACGGGCTGGTTTCCGCAACTCGACGACAAAGCGCCTATTTTGCGTGTGGATACATTCTAGGATTATAAGTGGCATTAGCTTACAACTCACCATTAAAAGAATGGACTAACCTATTTTTATTTTGCAAGTACTTCCTATCTTAAAATGTGTGTAATGTTAAAATTTTATAAATATTATTGTTATTAGTGAATGAATTTAATGCATGTATTGGAATCGTTTGAAACATTTATTTTGTTGGTTTAAATTTATAAATACTTATAAAAATCCCTCTCTGTTATTTGCCATGCCCTTACAAGGCGTCGCATGATACTTTACAATAATCTACCAACTTAAATTGTATTTTATATGCTTTAACTGTGACATGCAAATAAATTATTTGTCTTTGACTATTTTCTTAAGTTTTACATTACAATTATGAGTATAAGCAAGATACTTTTTAAAGTAAGTTTTATTATTTTACATTTTATGAACAGGAATTCTTCTACCTTTTAAGTCATCTCTCCCTATTTATGTTATATTGAGTAACAGTAATGCAAATGTTTGCAAATTTGTAATGAAGTGGTAAAGTGGTTAATTATTAATTAGGCTTATTGTTGCATAATTACCTGCAGGTCTCGGTAGTCCGAAGTAGGGGAAGGTCAAATCGGCGGTTTCAATACAATGATTTACTAGAATGCAGGCCGGTATTAACAGGCAATCGCCCTATTGTCGCTCAAACGGAATTACCATACGTTAACTAGTGTTTCCGCCCGTTTCAGCGCGCAGCAACTGTGCCAAGGGAACTAAGACATTTAACCGCATTTAGATGTAGAATCGACTGTAATTAGGCCCGCATTTTCGAGTGAAAGTGGTTACTCAACTTCGTAAAGTCTGTACCTGTTAGTGATATCCTGCTTGTGCAACAACTCGTCCAGACATAACGCTGTTACTTAATTGGGTTGTGAAGTTTAAGACGATCTATATAATGGGCACTCAATCACCTGGCCGTGACTGCATACTCCGTTAAAACTGTTAAACTACATCACTCGACTCAGGTTACGTAGAGCACAAAACAAAAGCTACGGCGACTTAGCAAGTCTTTATCACATTTTATTTGTTACTACATGTAAGTGTAAAGCCAAAGTTTGCGAGCGATGCGACGTTGTTACTTATGAGACTTTGTCTTCAATAGAAATCTAAACCTAAATTGTTTCGCGTACCAGTCGTAGTCACATTTAAATTCAAACATTACATCGTTTCGTAACAAAGGATCGAGTCGCACTTAAAATAGGACCAAAGTAAACCAATAAAACTGAGTTTGGTTGAAAACTTTTGTTTCTGGTAATAAACTAGGTTAGGTTCGGTAGGGTTGTGAGAGAACATCGCATGTTATGCCCAGAAATAAAACTTGTAAGTGAATTTGTGGTGTTTGGACGAGACAAAGTCGCAAATCAATGAGGGTCATTTTAACGCCGGCGGGAGTAATGAATCGTAGCGAAAAAGCGTTATGTGGGTCGCGTTACGTAAAGGACCTCGAACTTTCCGGGCCACTGCATTCGTATAGCCCAACTTCGCCGATAGACGCTCTTTTGGCGTCATAGTGACGGTGTCGCTTCTCGAATCACTTGGGAGTCCCATCTGGTTTTTTTCATTAATTCGTGTTTATTGAACTTAAACTGTTGGATGTCAATCGATTGTTCCGTCGCGTTTCCGGCTCTGATAACCGATTTTTCGCTTGTCGCTCAACTGAAGATTTAACGGAAAATTATTTCCTCCACGTGTCGAATTTAAACATGTAATCTAAATATTTTATCCAACTATGGTGTGTGAACCTGATAGAGATTGTAGTTGTCTTTTGTATTCGCACATCGTAACAATTTGCTAGGCTCTGTACCTACTTGAGTATATCTTACTTGCTGTCTAAGCGTTAATAAGTAATTAGTGGCCACTTAATTAATTCTTAATGAAGTCGGCCGTAAGTCAAGGATCCTCAAGGCTCGTTTTTAATCTTTTGTTATCAACTACCTCTACGTGATACGGGTTTTAAAAGGCGGATGTAAAAAATAATGATCTCGTGAAATATACGGTAGTAAGCATTAACCTCGGAATGTCTTACTCACTCAACAATTTTTAGGTCCACTGAGTTTGCGCTCAAGGTTTGAGTGTTGTTAACTTATTAATATTTTTTTAAGTTATTAACATTACGTCCTAGTTTGCCGTTTACTTAGCCTTCGACGTGTTGTGCCACTGTCACTTTTAATACTCGCTCAATATCGATATTGCTAAAATAATTACAGTACAGTAAACAAAATACAGTTAAGAATTTCAGCCGCAAAAATATGTACCTTTTGTTAAACAAAACTTAAGAATACATTTGATAAAGCCGCACCGCCGTTAGCGAATGAATTGGGTTTTCACACGAAATATTAAAAGTTCTCATAACCAACGGTAGCCACCTATTACGTGGAGTTAATATTTCGCGTAGAGATTACGAGCCACGCAATGTATTGTACAATGTAAGAAATTATACAGGATTGCCAACAATAAAACCGGTTGGCTGGCACACTGTCCGCAATCATTATTTTATTGGCCTCGCCCGCATTATTCACCCACATTAAGCGAAAATCTTTTGGGTATTTTGTAACTAAATATGGTAAGAAGAAACGATTTTAAATATTATTCAACTTATATTTTACGTTTGCACAGAAAACTCGTAAAAATAAAAGACTATTGGCGAAGCAAGGAGACTCGAGATAGGAATACTCGGTACATTTAAAATTTCAATTTTAGAAATAGCTGCAAAGCTAATATGCCATACTGCTTTGTAAAATGTTGCTTACATTCGATTTCCGTAAAAGTTACAACCGTTATAACGTTATTCAATATAGTGTGGTCGGCTATAACTGTACTTATACAAAATGTGTAATTGACCATTTAAAACAGTACTTTCCGTCATTTCGAAGCATTCTAAGCAATTTAAAAAAGCGAACCTTTGTTTATCCTGATACGCAGTTGAATGTACCGAATAATGGAATTCATTGCAGATCTGGTGTTTACAATAAACTGATAAAAGCATAAAATTGCTTTTAACAGGTGTTTCAGTTCGTTTTGGATGTTGTATAGGCAGCAATTGACGTTGAGTAATCTACTTCCTAAGTGAAATCTCGTACGCTTTTCACTGGATAATAAATTGCTAGTCGAAGCAAGAATTGGGCCTAATGGTGATTAATTGTCGCGCTGCCATATTTCGGTTTTATTGTTTCAGTAAGACGTCCGCCGGCCGCCATAATCGGCGACCATTACGTCTCGCTCGCCGATTTACGGGGTTTTCTGATGACACAACTTCGTTGCAAATAGCCCTATAAAAGTTATTTGTGCTTGCCATTTTTGTTCGCACGTACAGAGACCCGCCTAGTTTCTATGAGCCGTGAAAAAAAATGAACAAATTGTTATGAATGATTTTCGAATAACCGCAGGCGGAATATATTTATCGAATGGCTGACACTAAATGTATTCTAACTATTTTGGCTGAATGATGAATTGTTTTGTTTTTGCGTTTTATTGCTAGCTTGTCACACTGTTATTTAAATAAAACGGTGTAATTGTGTATGTATATACACGGTGCAATCGTTAAGTGTGCCCAGGCGATTATTCCATAAATAATTAAATTATATATTAAGTAAAAATGTAGGTTGAACTGGCAAATTTAGTTGTAAGTGTCACTTTTTGTTTTAGTTTTTACTACGATACTGTCCACCAGGATAACATCTGGTGCAACAAATTCATGCAGCGTCAGCATGCAACGAAAAAATGTCTTTCACATTATTGCCTCTGATTCCGCTGTGACTAGGAATCATCATCTATACTTTTTTTTAAATCTTTATTTACAAGGCGCCTATTTGATCGTTATTGAACATGTTAGCCTCATTACAAAAACGGTACATACAAACACTTAATAAAATCCAGACAGAT